ATAATAAAGCTAGAATGATGTATAAAAAATTAAGCAAACAAAACAAAAAAGAAACAGTTTTCACAGACGATTGAGTATTTCTCATTGATTAATTCAGTTCTCACTTCGCGACAAGGCAAAAATACATAAAACTCAAAATATTTGTATTAAAAATTACGAAGTAAATCTTAAACACTAGTTCTCACAAAAATTCAGAAAGATAAGCATGATTTAATCACAAAAAAATGAGGCGATATTTTTGTGTTGTGAAGCTACGTTTCTCTCGATGGCAAACAAATCCACTACTCTGCTATTTCAATGTAAACAAGCAACGGCCGCCATCAAAAAATTATTAGGCTTAGCGGCACTTAAACAACTTTAAAATTTGTTGATAATTCTAAAAATATTGCAATACAGATTTACTAAAGGAATAAAAATCTTAACCGGAAGATGAAAATAACATAATTCAAATATTTTAAAGCAAAAATGTACAATTTACAAACTGTAAGAGTAAAGAAACTGAGATCACTGAGCCGGGTAACAAATGGATATATATATATATATATATATTATATACATTTGGCGCGGCCGATTTCAACCAAAATACGAGGTGAACATCTACATATTAGTAGTCCTATACAAATTCAATGTTCTAAGGCTATCGTTTTTTGAGTTAGCGAGATACGTACGTACAGACACCACGAAAAATTCTCTTCAGAATTCATTTTAAAGCAATTTTATAATTTTTTTGGAGGAAAAGAGTCTTTTATTCTGTCCTTACATACAGATATCACACAAAAACATCGTTAAAAAGCATTCGAAAGCGGTCATAATGGATATTTTCGTTGAAATATGCTGACTGAAACTTTTCACGATTACAATACTTCCTTTTTACTTCATACAAGGAAGTAAAAATGCTGGTCTTATATTCATTTATGTGGAAAATGGTATTCAGTTTATTGATACTTTTTCCTACCTCATATCTTGTGCAATTAGGATTATTGCTGTTAATCATATTAGGACCAACAAAAGAAACCACTTGAATATTTCCAAAAGGGGATACTTTCATTTGTTTCTCATAAAAATTGAACTGGATATGCAGTATTTAGTTTATCAGCATCAGCCTCAGGAATACCACTAACAATTCAATTAACTAATGTAATTTCTATGTATGCATAGTATAAATAAAAAAGATGTAACTATAGTAAGTTGTTTTATAAAGATTTATTCTCTGAAACTTGGCAAAAATCCAACATAAAGTGCTTGGTAAGTAATTTTTATTATATGCTTTAACTTGCTATATAAATTTTGTAAAGTTAAATTACATCCCTTCTTTGTAAATCACCATTACTGTAGAACTAGTGGGCAGTTAGAAAATTTCCCTTTTAACAGAGATAAAAAAGTGGGCATTAGGTATAAAAAGGTTGACCTGCTTTACAGGAAAGACTTTTCAAATTTTTTAAGTATTTTTTAAGGATGCCTTTTGAGGTTTCACATTTCCAAAATCTGTTACAAACAATTTCATTCACATATATCAGATTGATTTATATTCTTGACAATTTTTAGTACACTTTTTGTTTTTAAATTTAAATGATTAGTTTGGTATCATCTTAAAAAAAAGGCCCAGGTTTGCTGCTGTTAAAAATCTCTTTTTCACAGAAATGATTACAGATATCAATCCAAATATTTTTTCCATTACTCAATATTAAATATCACAACACTTTGACTCTCCAATTATTTGCTCTAGAGTAACAGTATTCAATTTTTTTTTTTTTTTTTAAATCTACACTACCAGCAACATAAGCAAAAAAAAAGGGGGGCAAATTCATTATCTTTGTGCAGATACTAGCAGCTTCTTGAGGTTTCTGTAAATTGTGAACTATTTCAGTATGATAGTTTATCATCTTTGTAGTCAGCTATTTGTAACATTTTTTTCATAAGCAGACATAATGAAATTTCAACTTTTCTATATAACAGGGGGGTATATAATTCATATACCTCAAGGTGCCTTTTTCAAAATTTCTTTATTAAACCACTGCTTTTTTAGTTTTATTCTTTTCTATCAGAAATATAGCCAAGTACTAAATATAGCCAAATACCAAAGCCAATATTTTTATTTTCTGATTATCAGTCTGCCTACTTCAGCAGAATCAACCAAAATCATTTACATAAATAGTACTAATTGTCATCTGCATTTAAATATAACTTCAAATCCTTTAAAAAATTTTTAATTTACTGGAATAAAAATAACAAAGCAGACATACCTGAAGCAAGACGAGGTAAATACTTGTAAGCACCAGAGAAGTGAATGGCTTGAAGCAAGCTGAAAGTTACACTTGGCTCGGGAGTGTAAGTCTAAAGAACACAATTGTTACATGTTTGTCATAAACTGTATTTATTTAATGATTACACATATATGGGGGGAAAAGTATGCAAACAAAGTATCATATGTGACATACATACATCAGCTTTCAGTTTATAATAATTCTCTTTTCATAAAAAAAAAAAAAAAAAAAAAAAAAAAAAAAAAAAAATTGCTTAAACATATTATTGCACACAGTAACTTTGCAGGAATTCAATAAATAAATAAAAAGGCAATTGGATGAATGATGGGCTCTGCCATTAGAATTCCTTTTTCTATATTTACAGTTACACTACTGAGCATTCACCCTGTGGCTTTTCAAATGTATTTTTTATTTTGTACTAGATTAAGTTTTAGTTCAAAATGGTATTATACTTTTCAAGTTCCCATGTATTTTTTCCATAAATAAAGATCTTAGTGACCAAAAATTTCAAGTAAATTATGACAGCTTGTAAACTGATAGTCTTAAAAGTTCCATGGCGACTATAGTTTCCATGCGGCTATATTGCTTAAAACAAATATTTAAATAGAGAATTACTGAATAAATCTCATAATTTTACATATAAATATAACAAAAGATACCGTCCATTACATTTTCAGATACAAATATCTTGCACCGCAAATTAGAATTAATGGTATTAAAACAAGATATATTCTTTTCATTTATATTTTAGAAATGACTAAATTAGTTTTAATTGATGAACATGCATGCTTAATTTTGAGTTTCCAGTTACATGTGCATATAATATTTGCTGGAGTTTGCTAAAACATATTTTAATTTGTTAGTTAACTCAAAGCCACAGACAGATAAATTAAACAATTCTCAAATTCATGTGTCCTGACAATAAAACATACAATATTTTCAATAGTTACTTAAATTTTAATTAAATACATAGGCAAAAATTCTCTTTTAATTACAAGGGGTGATCAAATGAAAAGGTACGAAACGACGTAAAAACGTAACAGTTAAATATTTGCATATTCCGCCATGAGAGAACATAGCGAGACATCTTGGGATGACTGGGATTGGAGCATGTGCGGGCGCCCGCATGCGCAGGAGAGAGCAGAGGCTCTTATCAAAAAGGGCGTCCAAATGATGCGGTAGTCCATATGAGAACAGGTTGGAATTCACATTGCAAATTCGACGACTGAGGAGCAGAGAGGTGTTATGCGATTTCTGACAGTGGAAGGTGAGAAATGTGTCTCTGACAAGTCTGTCAGAAAATGGAGTGCCCGTTTTCGTGCAGGCCGTGAGAGTGTGGGTGATGACCTAAAACCAGGCCAGGTAAACATTGTCATCACAAGCGATCTCATCGACAAAGTGGACGACCTAGTGAGAAGCGATCGGCGAGTCACATTGTGAATGTTGGCGGTGAAGGTGGATGTCAGCTATGGAACCGTATGGACAATTGTTCACAACAGGTTGCAATATCGGAAGGTGTGTGCCACTTGGGTTCCGAAGCAACTCAGTGACCAGCAAAAGGAAACACGTATAGGGCTAGCACTGCAACATCTGTTTCCAGGGTTCACAGCCACATTTTAATAATAAATAAGCACCTATAAGCGCTTTTCAAGCACATTTTAAGAAAAAAAAATAAGCACCTGTCTAATTACATCATACACAACTGCATATCCTTAAAAATTAGACTTGTAATTTAAAATATGAGAAATGAAGTACTTATTAAGAGAGAATAAGCATTACCTCTATCATGGAAAATAATTACTTTTTTTTTTTTTTGTTTTTAATTTTAAATAATAGTTCAATTTACAGAACTAGTTTACATTGAGAGAAAAAAACTATGAAGAACTAAACTATATTACAAGATTTAATGATGAAATTTCGTTCAAAATAGAGAAAATAAATAATAATAAGGCATATTTATTGTATTCGCTTGGAAACTAATAATAAATACAATTTATTTTTCCACTAATATTGATTTTTAAATAATTTAAATCTAAATTCTGAACATTTTCTAAATTTTCATTGTATATCAGTTTTCTCTTAACAGATATTGCAAGCAAAGTAATTTAAGTAAAAAAGAGGAACATTTCTGAAATCAGAAGACAGAAATTTGCTTCATGCAGTCATGTTTAACAGTAAAAGCTTAACTAACTCGCATACTTGGAAATTGGCGAATATTCGGACAGTCGAGCGTAACTTGAAAAAGAGGAGCGGAACGGGGGGGTAGACTGTAGCCGCTCTTTAGATTTTCCCTGCTAAATAAATGCTTTTGACATTTTGATATGTGCATCATATAAAAATAAACCAACGGAACTAAAAAATATTCTGCTTAGCAAGCACAGTAAAATTCTTTTAAGTGTTCATAAACAAATCTCGAACTGAACATCAAAATTAATTATCTCTGCAAAATACCACAAACGTTATTGCGCAATACGTGCACGGTAATTCTTCCCTATGTGATATTACGCAAACGGAATCAGCAACTGCCGGTATTGGGAGAATAAAGAACTAAATAACTGTTGTTTTTCATTCTAATTTTCAACAGACGGCGTTAAATTTCTGGAAAAAAATCATTCTTCACATGGGTTGGTAGACCGCAGAACTTTTAGTCCTATTCAATCCAGATTAAAAAGTCACCCCCCCCCAAAAAAAAAGGTCCATTGCTTGTTTTGCAGCGAACTATAATAGTTTCAATATTCAAGATTTTGCGGAGAAAGGGGAGACCTCCCAACCTTTGTACTGTATAATGTATTGGCCAAAAAAATGAAATTATTTTGACTATTCGATTACTTTCCCTTTATTTAAGCCATTCCGAATATTATTCCTTAGAAAGCTAATCTGTGTTAAAACACAACCATTTTTGGAAGTTTACTATACTTCAGCAGTTACTGCAACTATGTTATTATAAACATTCATACATGCATAACGATCATAATAAACACGAATATGAACTGACCAAGCAGAACGAGAATGCAAATTTTTAAGATCTTGATAGAAATTCAAACGTATGTAGTATTTGGGTGGGAGGAAAAAGAATGCCGAATGTAGCGGAATTTTCTACTGCTTTCGCAATTCTTTGACCAATAGAACGACCCGCATCTGTCTGTACTCTTCGTGCACACCAAAGGTTATGTTAATGCAGAGAAAGGGGGGAAAAGCTATTTCTGGGAGTGTGACTCACCATCTGACATTCCATATTAGGAAGAAAAGTTGTTTGTTTAGTTTCGGCTTTGGTACGAGAAAAAATAGTGCGTTCATTAAAAAAAAAAAAAAAAAAAAGCACTAAAAACAAAAAAATAAGGGCTTTAAAGAAAAAGTAAGCACCTATAAGGGCCTTTATATTTTATTTTCAAATATAAGGACTTATAAGCACTTATAAGGACCGCTACAAACCCTGGTTTAGGTATCAGGACGACTCCGCTTTCCTGGAGTGAATCATCACAGGCGACGAGACCTGGTGCCATCACTACGAGCCAGAGACAAAGTGGGACAGCATGCATCGTCACCTCCCCCTAAAAAGTTAAAAGCCGTGCCTTCAGCAAACAAGGTGTTGCTCACCGTCTTTTTCGAAATTTAAGGTCCGCTACTTGTAGAATTCCTCGAGCACAGAAAAACTCTGATGTGTACTGTGAGACACTCCGACGCCTATGCAGGTCCATCAAGAACAAAAGACTGGGCTGCTCACGGAGGGTGTGGTTCTGCTCCATGATAAGTCGCGTCCACACATGGAACTGGCCAAGTTTAAGTGGGAGATGTTGGACCATCTGCCCTACAGTCCAGAAATGCCGCCCTGCGATTCCATTGAAGAAACACCTGAAAGGGAAGCACTTCAATTCGGACGATGTACTCAAGAACGCTGTGAAGGACTGGGTCTCGTCATGGCCACAGGAATTCTGGGAACAAGGAACCCTGCGGCTTGTTCATCAGTGGAATCATTGTGCTCAGGCCTATGGTGTATATTTTGAATAAAGTTTACACTTGTAACCACTGTGTCGTTTCATACTTTTTCATTTGATCACTCCTTGTATTATGGATTAAATTCAGTTTATTACTTAACATAATTAATAAAAAAATTTTATATACATCACATGTATTACAAATATTGACCAGTCTGTATAATGAGGGCTATCTAAAAAGTATCCGACCTTTGACCGTGAAAAATCACCATTACTGTGGCCTCGCTCTTGCACTTTTTCTTGGCTTGGGGACTTAGGATGCTTCCACTGTGATGACTGTGCTTTTCCTTCCAGGATGTATCCGTACACTCATGACTTATTTTTAGTTATCACAGTGTTCAGAAATTCAAAATCACTGCGGTAGTGTCCAGTAAATCCAGTGCAGCCTCAAAATAAAGTTTTTTCTGTTCTGTCAAAAGCAGCTTGGGCACAAATTTTGCAGCTATTCTGCATATATTCAGATCAGCATAAAATATCATGTGTGGAATTTTTACTGATTTCAACCTTTTTGGCAATCTCTCAAACAGCAAAATGGTGACCTCTCTTTAGATTTTTCGCCCTCCCTACAGCATTCCTAACAGTTTGTGGCCTCCCAGAATGCTGGTCACTCTTAATTGATATATGAGTATTTTTTAATTGTTTGAACCAGTTCTGAATTTGTGTTACTTTCATAGCATCATCTCCAAAGGCCAGCTGAATCTCACAATTGTTTTGCTTTCAGAATCACCAATTTTGACAAATTTGATGCAGTATCTTTACTCATTCAGTTATCTTGAGATAAATAAAAAATCTGACAAATATGTATAACAGTTCCTCACTTGGTAGCAAGCAGGCAGTGACTAGTACAGTCGAATGTGGAGAAAAAATTCAAGTAGCACATTAAGCTGTCTCTATCCACTATGCAAGACTTGTGCTGTAGTAACATCACTATGGCCCACCAGCGGCCAAGAGGTAAGGTAGCTGAACACTAGTATTTCAGTCCGAGGTTCTGCATATGGGCAAGCTGCATGTGCATTTTTGTGGTTTTTCCCATGTGTAATGTGTACATGGGGAAACATGGGGAATACATGTATACAAGTCAGTTTCCAACTGGCCATGTAAACAAGTGAACTGGCCATGTATACAAGCCAGTTTCCCTTAGAAAATCCTCATGAAGATATCCCTTCCTTTAGGCAGATTGCCTTTAAGGCTTTGCTGTTACCAAATAAATTAAACCAATCTAGCATCATTATTGTATGGGAGAATTTAAGGTTTAGATACTTTTTAGACAGACCTTCATTTAACAGATACTGTTTCACTGTATACAGAGGAATATAGATAAATAAGCATTACAAATGCAATAACATTTAAAATGTCATATTAATTATGTATATAATCATTTAATAAATGACTATAGCTTAATTCCTCACTTACATTTGGAACATATTTTTCATATACTTCCATGACTTTATCCATATCTTCAGTCTCAGACAAAAGTCTGAAGAAGCATTTGCTGAGAAAAACAGACATATGATCAATAATATATATGTACAAATGATCAATAACATCAATAATATGAAATAATTTAATGTGCATAGATGGCAGATAACATATATGGCATTCCACAGTTCATATGAAAAACATAAAACAGTATCAAAAGTCCTTCACAATATTTCACCATCATTCTGTATTGTTTCTAATACTACTATATATATACCTTTTGAAAGAGAAAACTTATTTTAATAAATACAATGATTCAAATATTCCTACAAGAAAAAAAAAAAAAAATATCAAAAGGTGTGAAACTGGGCAAATGAGATAGAAGACACTTGTGCACTTCATAAAACTCAAGATCACGAAAAAAAAAAAAAAAAAAAAAAAAAAAACAAAAAAAAAAAAAAAAAAAAAAAAGGTCACATTTCTAAGTACAACAAAAAGATAAATATATACTGCTCAAAAAATTAAATGTTCATTCTGTTTTTCCAGTTTTATGCTCATCTAATGTGTAAAATCTAATAAAAATCTGCTGACTATGAATGTAGTGCTCCAAAGACATCAAAAATAGAAGATTTCTTATTCAAAACAGCATCACAAATGATAAAATTCAACAGTATGACAGTAGACTGAATTCTGTGTCTGCAATATTAGGTTTATTGCCATTCCTTTCATAGAAAGAATTCAAGCGATGTCTGAATGTCATGATTTATAAGAATTAACGACTAGTCACCTGAAAACTGATGAATTTCACTGGCAAATAATTATTTTGTCTGGTATGTCTGAAAGCACATTTTCTGATTATTGGAACCGATATACAAATGCTGGGGATGTTTGAAGAAGGCCAGGTAAGGTCACCCATTTGCCCCAACAGAAGCTGTGGTTCAATTTCTGCCCACCAACAGCCCATCAAAATAAGAGCAAAAAATGCCATTTATCTGCAAAGAGCTATTCTGAACTATAGGTTTAAACTTATCAACATAAATGTATAAAATTCCCTTTATGAGTATGATTTGTAGGAATGTAAACTTGAAGTTTAGGTTCCCTTAAGCTCAAGATATTGTACAATAATGAGGAAATGGAAGGGTGAAAATGCAGTAAGGAAAAGAAAGTGGCATCATATTCTGCTCATAGACAAGTCAATATTCTGTATAAGGTCAGAATATCTTTATATCTTCATATAAAAAGAAATGTAGTTCAGTAAAGTTTCCAGTTTTGTGCCCCAAAGATCATAAAACTGAGGTAAGGATTGATGGTTTAGGCAGGAATAATTAAATAAAGGCACAGACTTCTACGTCATCTCAAATGACAGTCTGATAATAAAGGACGAGGAGACATATTTCCAAACAAGTATTTCTGGATGTCTGCAATACCTATGCTAGTTCATTTACACTGAGAAGCATATTGCCTCTACACCAGATATATGTCTGTGATGTCTGTAGCAGGAGGCATGAACACTGTCCATGGTGGGGATACATTTTTGGTGACAGCCAATGCATATGGTAATCACATATCCGAAAAGCAATGATGGGTACTGAATCAGTGTTTAGCTTATTGAATAACATATGCCCCAAATTGTGTAGAACTTTTCTTATTATTTTAACAAAATTTATGATGAGATATTTATTTCTGATTTTTTTCAATAAAAATATTTCTTAACAATGATACAAGTGATTTGTTATTGTAAGCTACATAGTGATGTAACTTTTTACCTCATTTGTTAGCATTAACTAAATTTACGATTATGTTTATCCTTATATAAGGGGATTACTATATTGTTATATTCTGAGAAATCTGATAAAAAAAAAAAAAAAAAAAGCCTAATTTATCATCTGTTTGAATTTGATCATACTTTTGGTTTCCTATTGTTTTTTATTTTTCAATTTACAGATTATGTCTAGTTAGCTTGATTGCTTAGCACATTTACTGAAGTGCTAAATTTTGTGTTTGGCCATCAAGTTGTACGTTCAAATCCAGTTGACACATTTTTCTCATTTCATCATTGAAAACAAATGTTTTACTGCTTTGGTAATTAATGGAATTCTGTTAACATAAAAATTATTAAACTTTTCACATGTAACACATAACAATTTTATGTAAAATAAATTTTTATATCAATTATTTATTTACATAATAATTCTATATTAATTGTATAAAAAAATTATTATATTTTACATTATTTATAAAATGATAACATCTCTTTTTTCCTCTTTCAGGTACATAAAATATACGCTTTGTGATAAATTTTATTATCGATAAAGTATGTTGTATTTTATACTATATATGAAGCAATCTATTTTTTTTCTTTTCTGCAAATGAATGATAAACTATTATAAGAAAATTTTAAAAATGATTGAAAAAAATTATTCCACCCTAGAAAAAGAGTATTGTTAGGGTATTGATATTGTCTCATGTTAATTAGTAGTGAAAAGTTATATTATTAGATAAATAAGGCTGGAAAATTTTTTTCTTTAATGGGTAAGTAAAGTTTGGAAAAATATTAATGGGAAAAACAATAAAAACGATTAACAATCCTCTGCTTAATGCTTTAAACTGAACTTTTCAAGGGGTTAGTATCTAAAACACTAAAACAGGATGATTAATGAGTGCTGAACACACGCTTCATTGTTCCTGCCATTATGTGACTCAAATCACAGCTAATAAATTGTTTAAAACTGCTAAATAAAATGTGCGTTCAGCATTCATTAATCATCTGTTTTAAATACTAAAAGAATTCTGTTTGAAGCATTAAACAGAGGATGATAAAAGTTTTTATTTGTTTCTCTCATTAATATTTTCTCAAACTTTAATTATCTTTTTAAGAAAAAAAAATCCTGCTTTATTATTTTAACAATAATTTAACTTTTCACTACCAGTAGGCATAAGGCAACATTAATAATCTAAATAATTTTTCCTAGGATAGGATAATCTTAATAATTTTCAGTTCTCTGCAGCTCAAGTGCAGGAATTATTAAATTAATATTCAATTTTCTTAACCTTACGAAATGTAAAACTATTGCAAACTAATTCTAAGAAATGTTAATATTTAAGAGAACTGCATTAAAACTATTAAAAACTTGTAATAAACTTAAAAGAAGTTTAAAATTTGTTAATGCTATGCATTAGAATTGTACATTTTAAAACAGAAACTATACATATACAAAGTGAGACAACACAAACACAGACACAGAAAAAAAGAGACTAAGTGCATAACTTGAAAAAGGATTAGAGTAGGTAACAACTACTTAACGTAATCTTACACCCCTCCTCTATCCCTGTTGTCAGTTTTGACTCAACCAGTCATGCCGAAAGTACTGCACCAGGAATGCAACTGCATTCTGCCAGAAAATGTAAAATCTGAACAGTGAGTCGACATCAAGTTTCTTGTTAAACTTAAAAAATCAGCCACAGAAACATTTCAAAAGTTAACTAAGGCTTATGAAGATGAAACTTCATCTTGGACATGTGTGTCTGAACGGCATAAACGGTTTTTGAAGGGAAGGGGCAGTGTGGAAAGTGATGAATACTCTTGATACCCAAGGTCAGAGATTACTCACCAAAACATTGCAAAAGTTCTTGCGATAATCTAGGTGACCAAAGATTAAGTGTTCATGCAGTGACAGAGTTGGTTAACTTAAAGAGGGAAGCTGTTTGATGTGAAGAATGACACATGAGGAAGATTTGTACGAAGGTTCTGTCAAAAGTTTTGTCTGATGACCAAAAGCAGTGCTGTAAAGACATGTGTAGATATGCAAGAATGCATTGGAAACAAGTCAGATTTGTTGGAAGCTGTTGTAACTTGTGATGAAACATGGATTTTTACCTATGATCCTAATAGCAAGCACAAGTCAATGCACCAGAAGTGTCCAGGATCCCCAAGACCAAAAAAAGAGTGCATGTCAAAATCAAAATTTAAGACAATATTGATTATCTTCTTCACTAAGAAAATTCTAATGACTGAGTAGGTCCCCCGGTGGTCAGACTGTTACTCAGCACTACTATATTAAAATTCTTTGACTTCATTAAAAAAATAGAAATAGAAAATAGCTTCATTAAAAAAGCTACAAGTAGTGGAGTGATTGATGGCTGTTATGCAAGAACAATGCACCCGCTCACAAGGCCTTATTTGTTGAGCAGTTTCTGACCAGCAAAAACATTACTGTGATGGAGCATCCACCTTATTTACCAGATTTGACTCCCTGTGACTTCTTTCTTTATTTAAGTTAAATATAACACAAAAGGAACTTATTTTACCTCAGTCAAATATGTTAAAAAAAATGGAGAATCTCCTGAAGGGCATTCCAGAAACTTTGTTTCCAGAACACTACCAGCAGTGGGATCTTTGAAGATGAAAACATCACAAAGAATTAATTCTGTAAGTATAATGATAAATAGTCTCGTTTTTGTTTTTTTTTGTTGTTTTGTGCGTGTGTGTGTGTGTGTGAGACACCTTGTGTGCATATATATATGTAACATACTCAGAAGCAGGAATTTTGATAGCATAGAATGTTGAAACACTAATTCACAATGAGTAAGAAATTTGGCAGTTTATCTTTAATGCAACTTTTATTTTAGTGAACATGTTGCGGCCACAATCAAGTGGGCACATTAATTGTGCCTATTCCAAGAGATTTTACATTTTAGACAAATTTGGAATAAGAAAGAGCAGACAGACTGCAGAGTGACCAGGCCAAAGCGTGGAAAGCAAGTGCATAATGTTCAGGATGAAATTTTAATTCAGACTGAGTTAGTTTTGGTTCTCAATACATTCTAATTGGACAGTTAATATTGCTCTAAAATTACTATTGGCTGGCTGAGTTTTAGTTCCATTTACATCATCATAATTATGTAAGAACCATATGACATAGAATACTCTCGAAATGACGCAGTGCAGAGAGGGGTTACTATTTTTAGAACTGAGAAGGGAAATTTACATTGCTAATTTAATCTTTTACATATTCTTTATTTTTCTTACATATATATAATATTTTTCACAATTACTTACTTTCTTTTCTCAATTTATTATGTGGGAATCATGCCTCAACAAAGCACCATATGTCGCTATCTATCTCTACTCTGTAGGAACTCTCCAGGTAAACACATCTTCACTTGGTTCGAAAAGTCCGACAGAAGCGGTCTAACAGAACGCTCGCGAAGGAGCTACAACTAGACTCTTACTGGTCGCGCGTAGGCGATCGGACTTGGAACTTATCTAAAGTGACCGCACGTTTGTGGTCAGCTGTGACTTTTACATCTCCATACTGGAACCAGTGTTGTGATTACTCTCCTAAACATATTTAATCCATTTGTACATACTCATTCCGTTTATCTTTTCTTCTATAAACCAAGAATAAAAACCTGATACTTTGAATTGTGAGTGTGATCTCTGTTTGATGATAAGACGTCACACGTCACCCTCACAACTATTTTTCTTAATTTACAATTTTTACTTATTTTTCATACTTGTTATTTTTAATCACTTTACTTTCTGTCTGTTTAAGCCTATTGCTTATAATTACAAGTATTGTATTATTACCACAACTTATTTAAAAAATTAAGGTCAGAAAAATAAAGACATTGAAAATTTTGCAAATTATTATGCTTGTTGTGAGACTGATGGAGGTCTCTCATTGGATATAAATCATATCATCTCCTTTAACTGCTCTGATTGACTTAGTATTAGAGCAATTTAGATACAAAACTGATTTGCATAGATGAAATGCTGTCAGGTGACATGTCTGGGAGTAATGAGTCACTCAGCAACTTTGTTCATGGACCTAAAGAAGACACAAAGATGAGATCTTTGGTCTTGCAGTGTACTCAGCTATCAGCAATATGTTCCTTTTAATAAAAAACAATGCTCAATACCATAGAATTAATTTTGTGGAAGGCCCACCAGCGGCCGAGCGGTAAAGTCGCTGAACACTGGTAGTTCGGTCCGAGGTTCGAATTCCGCGAATGGGCTGGCTGCATGGGTGTTTTCGTGGTTTTCCCCATGTGTAATGTGTATACGAGCCAGTTTCCCTTAGAAAGTCCTCCACGAAGGCATCCCTCCCCTTAGACAGATAGCCCTAGTGTGCTTTGCCATAATTAAATACACCACCTAATTTTGTGAAAGACTGAATTTCAAAGCTGGGAACCAAACATATAGAGTGGTCAACATGCTCACCTGACCTGAATCCAATGCAGTATGTATGGGATCCAATGCAGTATATATGGGTATTAGGATACATGTTGCTGCTTTCTCAAGATGTACTCTATCCCTTAAAAAGCTAGAAACTGTTTTGTAGAAGAGAAGAAAGACTGGTTGAGAATTTGATACTGGATAACTCTGTAAATTTCCATGATACACAGATGTTTCTAGCAGTTTACGGAGACTATATATGCTCAATTAATATATCATGAAATCCACAGGAAAAAAAAAATATTGCCTCAGTTTTTTTCTTTCATTACTGTAATATTCAAAAACAACAAAGCACACTGAAGAAGAGTATTTCTTCTCTTAAATTGAATAAAATAATTTTGCAGGTCAAATTTCAAGTATCATATGTTGATTTGATTACATATAGCCTACGAAATTTTTCTCAACAATGATGAGTGCTATGTATGTATTGCTTTAAAAAAGAGACTGATTCTTCATTTTTTTTAGCATGGTAGCTTCTGGTTTATTGGGGTAGGGAGATTCAGTTAAACACTTTGTAATAACACATATGAGTTAAAGAGTAACCATAATTATATACTTCATATAAATTCACAGCAAATAAAAATGCTGAGTTGTTTAAAAAAAAAAAAGACAATGGTCCTCCACTGGCAAATAGCCTACAACCCCCCTAGAGCATAATTCAGAGCATAACATAAAAGTCACAATGCCATTTTTTATGAAAGATTTGTCAATTAAAAGACATTTTGAAACATATTCAGAATAAAAAACATTTAATAAAAAATCACAGTTTTTAATTAACATTTACTTTTTAAGTATTACCAAAACCTGCATTTCAAAATCAGAAAAACATTAAATACATATACAGTCAAAAGTCTTTAATCCGGACTCGTCGGGACTTCGGCGATTCTGGATTATAGATCATCAGTTTAAATCTGAGAAGATGGCATGCAGAAATTATAAAATTAAAAATATGAAACCGTAATTTATGAAATAAAGAGCAATTATGATCTAAAGGGTATCAAAATTTACCAAAAAAAAAAAGCTTAATATTTATTTGTTTACTTTATTAAACATTTTTTTCAATGCGCGTATGCGTAAAGCACACATTATGCATAGTCGAAATTAGAAAATTGCAACCAGAAAACTATTTGATGTGTATTCCTAATATTTATAATGACGAGGAATTTGATTTAAATCATATTAAAGACAGAGTACATCAAAATGAAATATTACATTTAGTAAGGAATTATAAGCTGAATAAAATAAAAACATCTGCCCTGAAGATAAGGATAGTGCTGACAGATCAACTTCCAGTTCATTGCGTACCTTTGTTTACGAGTTTATGTGCTGGGTGAGTGAGTTATGTGTCATCTTACTATTTTTTGTTTTCTAACCGATTATGCTTATGATTTTCCTTATTTTGTATTGTGTGAGTGTATTTTAAAGATACACAATCTGTTTAATCTGTGTTTCAATCTTTTCTTTTTATCTTTTAGCTGTATTTTTGTTTGTCTGCATCGGGTGTGCTCCGTTAACCATGAGGCTGATTCTTAGGCCAGGAGGGTTGCAGCATACTCCTAAACTAAACTAAACTGGGGATATGATATGCAACACCTAAAATCCAGAGCTGCCACTTTTCACCTCCATGGTGATCACACTCATGAGAGTTGCACTATTATCTCAAAAGAGATAAAAAGAAATAGTGTGCATAGTCATGACTTATCAAACTCATATTCCAAACAAATATTTTCAAGTCTAAACAGGATGTGTACCAAGTTGGAGATAAACTGAGGTACCACTGTATTAAGATCATATAAGGTATTGATAGTATTCAAAACATCACATTTACACTTACAAATATTGTGCCTCAGAAAGAGCATTTCCTAGAAGTTTGCAGTTATTCTTATATTCAAGAAGATTGTGAAGTTGATAAGCTAGTTCTTTATCACAAACAGCCTTCCAACACTGAAATTTTAAAACCAAACTATATGTAATAAATGTTTCATGATGGTAAATAAAAAAGTAATATTGTTTAAATATGTAATCTTACCATTTCCATTGCAGTGGCAAAAAAGTTTACTAAAAAAAGGAAAAGAAAATTAAAAAATAATTTTAAAATTGCAAAATTTAATTAAAAGTTGTTTACATATATGAAATTAAAATATAATTTATATTTTGGAATAAAATTTGAAAACGTCAATGATCTTTGCAATATATCTAACAAAAATACAATGTAAAAAGTAATTTATGTACTTATAAAATTACCCTCTAAAAGTTAATACATAATTTTCTTCTATATACATCTTTATAACATGCAAAGGTGATATTCATTTACAGAAATAATAACGCATTAATCATAAACATACATTAATGTTTATGAAAAATGCAAAACCTTGAAAGAATTGTCAGAAATGAATGAAATTTATTCCACATATTATTGACAGTGGCACAAATAAATGATTAAATTTACAAGACCAAAAAAAAAAAAAAAAAAAAAAAAAAATTAAATAAATGTTGGAAATCAATGCTGTGTGTCCACTATGCTGAGTGATGAGAACCTGTACATGCTAAGCACTGAATCATACAGGTTCTGAATATAATCTTGGGGAATGGCATTCCATATGGCTTTGACTTAACGCCAAAGTTCAGTTTTAAAATGTATCCCACCAGATGCATGAGCGAGTTGCCGACCGGTGAAATCCCAGACATGCTTAATGAACGACATATCCACAGAATAATTAGGTTATAGAAGAAGCGAATCCTGTTGTCCCTTAAAAAGGCTTGTGGAGTCTGAGAAACATGTGCACAGGTATTATCCTGCTGAAATACAGTGCCCGGAATGTGTTAAAGAATGGGGAGGACCTCTGGCTCCACAACTTCCCTTATGTAGTGATAATTGTTGAAGCTGCCTGCAACTGCACTAGATGGGATCAACAATTATACCAGATGGTGACAAACTGTAGAGCTAGACAACCCAACATCTCTAGCCATGCTCTAGCACTGTGCTAACATGCAAGATGACATTGTACTACCCATCACAACCATGCAGATTAGATGTCTGTCGTTCATTGCCATTGTGCTACTATGTGCCCCACTGCCAGAATTCTGCCTTGTTAAGATTCTCCTCTGTCCATTTCTAGCAAACACGCATCACTGTTGTGGCACTATGCTGTGTGAGGGCTATGATTGCTTGATGCAAAAGTCTACCCCTCTCACATACCAATGATGCTGCCTCGTTCGAACTCCGTTAGCTGCTGGTATGGCACCCTCTGCAGTTGATAAGGTATACTGATCACTATTCAAACATTCACAGCAGATAGAGGATGATAAACAGATTTCAACACAACTTAACAGTACTTACACGGAACTTAACAGTATATACACAGAACAAAAATCAGTTCTCATTTCACACAAGAGTAGTTCTAATTGCTTGTTGGTAAGTTCAATAATTAATTATTATTAAATAGCTTATCTTGAATTTTCATCAACTTATAGTTACCTGGAAATACTTGAATTTGACACAATAAAAAGACTCAAAGAACTGAATAAGATTTTGATCAGCTGTTAGAATTGTTTACATATAAGTTCATTCTTTCTTAGCATCGAATTCTAATCGTTTGGTTTTATTTAATCTGTTGCCACAAACACACGACAAAATTAAAAAATACATTATGAATTAAACATCTGGCGCGAGGGGAGCGCCATCTATAGAAAAAGATAAAATAAGGCATAAACATTTTTAAAACTGAACACTAATCATTGCATGTCTTACCTCACTTTGCATTTCCTGTAAGCTTAGTTCAATTTGCACAATTTATTCATGGTGTTGCAAATTTTCACAAACTTTAGTACACACACACACACATATATAATTAATTAATATCTATATATATAGCCACCCAGATGGCATAGTGTTTAGGAAGGAAGCCTGACTGTGATACCAAAGGGCCCAGGTTCGAATCCCGGAGAAGGCATGGATGTAAAAATTTTCTGTTTCATAGGAGGTAACGGTGGCCACCTATTAGATGCCTCCACAATAAAATGCCCCCCCTTTTGGCCTTGGGAGTGGCTAATGCCGTTACAGGCAAGGGAATGTAATCGCATGTATTTATTAACCAAATGTATAACAGACATTAGATCAAACTGCAATAGTATTATAAATTATGTCTAAACTACCATACCAAAATTGTTAATATTGCATTCAAAATGTTATTACCAAATGTATTGTACCAACATTAAAAATTGTAAGTATATTAAAAATAATGATACTTACATATTAATGCAACTGCCTTAGTAGAAGTTGCCAAACTTTGGCAACCAGGCACATAATCATTCTTCTGGAAGCTACACTTATTTTTGTATCCATTCTTTCTTGTTGTATTCCAAGTTCCAATGGTTTTTAAAACAAATCATGATATTTTTGCCTTAACTTAGTTTCAAAATATGAGCTTATGGAACTTCCAGCAATGGAAGAAACTGCAGTAAAATTTCTGCAGGAACATACAAAATTTTGTTGAAAATTTTCTAAAGGGAACAAAGAGGAAATCCATTTCCTAGATAGCCACTGTTGCATGAAGCCTAGTCCCAGCAATTCTCTGATTTTTTTTTTTTAAAGTAAAAATAGATTGCTGTGTGCTTCAGGAGAAGAACAGCACAAACAATTAATTATTTTTTAATGATTAAATAATATACAGGGTGATTCTAAATTGTTTTTACAAATTAAGAGGGGTGACAGTACTCATCCAGATAAGCAATAATTACCATAGAATAAAACAGATAAAATCAAAAGCTTGGCATTCTGAGTGTTATTTCAAGCTCAGACTTTGATGGGAAACACTCAAATGCACATCTTTGGTTGGCAAGGTCTCAATCTCGCAAACAACTGCAACTAGTTAATTATCTAGATTACTAGGGGGAAGTTAACTATTAAGGGGAAAAACTGCTACCTCGATATTTCAAGGTAGCAGTTTTTTCCCTTTCCCTTTTAACACCTACTAACCTGTCCTCCTGGACTTACTGTACTGTGCTCATTCTACATGAAGCGCCCTTCTACGGGACATGAGGTTCTGACAGCCAGAACATAACATGAACATTTCATGCTAATCTCCGCATACAGTGGAAGTTGGAGTTTGTTGATAATATTCAGCCTTTAATTAGATAATTAACTTGTTGAAATTATTTGCGAGGTTGAGACCTTACCAACCAAAGATGTGCATTTGAGTGTTTGCCATCAAAGTCTGAGCTCAAATTAACACTCGAACACCAAGCTTTTGATTTTATCTGTTTTGTGCACTCTCTGTGAGTTTTTCACTGAACTGATTGTGCAACTTTTGGACTCGTTCATTCGCTCTCCCAATACTGTTTAAGTTCAGGTTGGAATTCTAATATTCCTGTCTGCCTCTCAGAGTGGAACGTGACCTTATGCTCTATGGTAATTATTGCTTATCTGGATGAGTACTATCCCCCCTCTTATTTTGCAAAAACAATTTAAAATCACCCTGTATATATATATATATATATACAGAGCGATTCTAAATTAATTTTACAAATAAGAGGGGTGATAGTATCCATAGAAATATGAGCAATAGTTACCATAGAACAGGGCTTCTTAAACTTTCTACAGCTGCAACTCCCAGGAACCCATAATATTTATGAAAATTTTGTGGGACTCCATAAGCACTGCACAAATCCGACACGCGTGTGTATGAAACTGTCAATTTTTTCACTTGTACTTTAATATATTATTGCAGTTTCAGGTCATTAATTTCTAATTTTAAGACATAGAACAACGTGACAATTTTAAATAAGTAACACAAATGACAGCGTCATGTGCAAAGCAAGTAAAATGATTGTTTCTATTGTAAAAAGAATACGTCAAAGTGTTTTTCTTTGTCTGTGTTGTCTTATCTCTATCTATTTTCAGATACATTGTGTAAAAATATTTGGTAATTGTATAATTATTAAAATAAATTAAAGAAATATCAAAACTACTAGATTTTTTGGCGACTCCCTGCTGCAGGTGTGGGTCACGACCCACAGTTTTAGAAACGCTGCCTTAGAACATTGGATTACATTGCACTCTGAGAGGCAGAAATGAGGAAAGTAGAAATGCATCAAGGAAGAATAAGGAAACTATCTCTTAAAGACTACCAATAATTAACCATATGCAAATTTGCACTGTGAAGAAGCAGCATTTTGCTCTTAATTGGTACCAGAGAAGTCCAATCAGAGCAAATGGTATCCTAGAAAGCGGCTCAACATCATCACTTCAAGTATTTAATAAACAAACTTCAAACATTTAAAAAAAATATTTTTAAATTTGACACATCTTAAAAATTATAAACATGTGCTTAATGTAAAATGGTAAGTAAAATAAATGGTAATGTAAAATAAAATTGATCACACTAAGTGATAGGTTAAAAATCTTCCTTCAAGTTTGCAATGGCTAACAAAATAACTAAATGGTGAACTGATTTTACTTGCATTAATTTTTATTATGCTCCTCAAAGTTGTGTAAAACTGCTATAAAATCCTTCAGATGTTCAAAGGAAAGTAAATGAAAATTCCCATTATATATAAATAAATTATATTACTTTCCCATATGCAAATTATAGCAATAATTAACCCCTAGGGTACGGATTTATTTGAGAAAATGTTTGCATCTGGAATGGATATAAATTTTGGTTGCGATTCATTAATAGCTACTTCACTATCAGGAGTATAAAGGTATTAAAATTTATTATTTAGGTAGTCCACTATATTTCTAATCTTTCTTATTCTGTCATCTTTATTTTCCTTTTCATTATCCGTAAAATGTAGAAAGCTTGAAATATCAAAAAACCTATTGTGTGGCACAGTGCTGGCAAAAATTGGAGTACTTATTGCATATCTTTTTGATCAATTCATATGCATTTTTGGCATGTTTATTTCTGACATAAAGATGCATAATGCAATATAAGCTTTCATTTCATCAGAAGTTACAGGAAACCATCTTTGGTTTTTTTTTTTTTTTTTCCACACACCCTTCTTTTTCTTGTCTATTATTCATATCTATTCGTCTCTTCAACTATATTGTCCCAAAAATCTTCATTCAAGACTTCTTTCAAAACACCTAAAGGCATAGGATTACCACTTAGTCTACACAGGCTCAAAGGATTAATTCCAGATATTTCAGAAAAACTTTTTATATCGGCTACATTTTCTTCTTCTTCCCAAAACCATTCCTCTGATAAGGATTTACTATCACTGCTCGATAGACGTCTTGTGCGTCTTCAAATCCTTGGTTTTATATTACAATTGTCATCATTTTTTGGTTCACAAGAAGATTCACTATCACTGCTCGATAGATGTCTTGTGCATCTTAGAAACCTTGATATTATATTACAATTGTCATCATTTTCTAGTTCAATCACCTTCGCTTTGTATTTCATGGTAATTGTCAATTTCAGGATCACTAAACAATTCTTCTTTAGATTTCTCAGAGTCACTTTTGCTATCACTATCATAAAATATATTTCTTGTTTTTGACATAATGGGGCAGTCTATCACAAAATAATGTTCACCGAAATACTGTAATTGCCTCTTCTATTATGACTGGTACAAACTACTATGAAATGAGCAGAATTGTGCCTAACCTCAAATAACGTTTTAGACACGTTATCCGCTCCTAGGGAAAACAAGTGAATGACGTCTCTCAGACGTCAAATGTACCCAAGAGTTTAATTTTTGGTTTGACGTCTTAGACACTTCATCCGCTCCTAGGGGGGAAAAAGTGAATGACGTGTCTCAGACGACAAATGTACCCAAGGGGTTAAAAACAATACACTGAACAATGTTACATATCACATTGAATAATTTTATAAAAATACACACTGAATATTTAAACTGTCAGTAAAATAATATTATGGAGAGTCACAATGATTAATATATTCTAAGCAATTAGATCTAATTGCCCATAATAAACATAACATGCAAAATTAATTCCAAAACCATAATTATTGAGATAATTGAAAAAACATAAGCTTCATACCATCGTTAGGATGTCTTATAGTGAATTCTTGACCTCTGACTTGATTCATAACTTCATATATTACATCTGGAATTTTGGGTTCTGTTGAGAAAAGTAAAATATATTTACATGCTGATGCATGCATACATAGTAATATTTTTTTTTCAAACTTAATATGCATATTAAAATGAAGAAACAAAATAAATAAATAAAATAAAAAATCCTATACTCAAAACAGCATAAAGGTTCACATACTTTTTGGGGGGACAAAATGTCTGAATACTATTACTAGAGAAGAAAACTGGCATAATTTAAAAATTTGTAATTTTTGAAGAAAAATAATATTAGTTTCATTTTGGTATGGAAAAATACCTCATACTTGATTAGCTTCAAGAAGTCAATTATATTGTTTCCAAAATTAGAAATGTATTCACCTCAAGCTGTTCCATACCATTGTTCTCAACCTTAAATTCTAAGCAACTACTTTACACAACATAAAGCAAGCTTTAATTCTTTAATAAGTTCCAATTAATTTTATTGGGATAGATTAGTGATTCCTAAGCTTTTTCTTGCTTCTACCTCTTTCAAAAGAATGATTTTCTTCATCCATCCCCTTTAATATCTGGCACAAAATTGCTTAACACTTTAAGTACTGAATTATTTGAAGATTTTCATGCCCATGGGATGGAACAAAATAAAAATATTTATATAGAACAAGAAGCTATTTCCCAATTCATTGTCGTTTTCATCATTTTCACTATCCAATTCACTATAATCACTGTTATCATACAGCTCTAATTCTACTTCATTGGAACTATCATTTTCGCAGTCACATAATGAATTTTTTATTTCAGACATTTTAGGATAGCATATCAAAAACACAGGGGTAATAATAAAGATAAGTGGAATTAACCTTATTTGCAATTGTAAGATGTCACAAACAAATGTCAAAGCAATTTTTTGCGATCAACACCCACTGGTGGGGCTGCCGCAAACATCAATGCCTGCTTCATAAATTCATATGGCGAGTCAGACTCGTCCACCATAACTTCACCCAAGTAAGCAGATGACAAGTCTCACTCGTTAAATGTACCCAAGGGGTTAATTTGATTCTCAAATCACTTTATTAAAAAATATTCAACCTGTTCCTTGTTTTCTGCCGTAAATTATTGACTTAACTGAAGCCTGTTTTCTCTAGGCAAGAAATGGGAAAGGTGAATAAATATCAATTCAATAATAACTTTTAATTTCAGAATATTTCTTTCAGATGACTTAAAATTCCAGAATTTAGCATACCCATGTATCTTGAATAAGATTTGTGCTTGAATGTTACCTTTCAATGCAATTACATCTCTTTGCATAATAATATCAAGATCAGATATATTGCTGTTCAGCATTCTATGAACCCTGCTGGCACATTCAAATTTTCAATGTCCAGGAAGTGAACATTAAAATCTTCTTTTAAATTTTGCTAGTAGCTTGTATAAAAATTGTATAACTTCCAAAGAAACACAAATATGAGCAATGACAAACAATTGTACTAAGTTGTCAAAGTAATGGAATTCTTTCAGATTTAGTGTCATGTAAACAAGTTCAATTTTAGAATCAAAACCAAAAAGTTTTCAATGAGCTTGATAGCTCTTCCTTTGTGTGGCATTGATTAGTGAATATATATTAGCCAAATAGAATTTGTGTTTTTTTTTTAAATTTTATTAAATGTGCCCCGTAATGTTGTAGATATAAATAAGTCAGTTTTAGAATGAAAACCAAAGATAATCACTCTACCTCCAATCAGACTGATCATATCTTCCTTGCAGTTTGTTCTGTGTGGTGTTGAACAATGAATATATATCTGCCTAGTAGAATACATGTTTTGAATTTTATTACTAAAGGTCTGTCAACTTAAAAAAATCCATAACAACATTAAAAATGTCAATTAAAATGCCACAAACAGTTATCCTTGGAAATCCAGTGTACCTACAAGTGAAGAAGCAATTATTGTTGTAGATTTCTTCGTGGCGGTCACACAGTTGTGCAAAAAGACAGTCATTCAGAGCTTTAACTTTGATAGTATTTACTGCTTTGATACAAAACTATAAAATAGTATTAAGCTCTTCCTGAATAGTTTTCGCAACTAAATGTTGTCTGTGCAAAACACAGTAAACAGTTCAAATGCTATGGACCTTGTTTTTGCAATACACTAAAACATCTTGATATTTTCCAACTATTGCTATTCCAACTATTCCAACCATCACATGAAGTTGTAATGAAATAGGACAGAAGAACATCATAATGGAAGGAAATCTTTTCAAAGGAATGAAATTTGTTATCTCCTTTTATGTATGCTTTGAAAAGCTCTTGGGGGGGGGAATCCTCACTTTTTTTAGCAACATTGTAATACAGTGTTGCTAAAATGCAGAATGAACATAGATAATTGAATCGCTCTTCCTTCCAAAAGCTGATTCATTTAGCCATATAGCAAATTTACTAACCCTTAATTCAAAGATAAGTTGTTGTTCAATAGTTTTGGTCATTTCATCTATGTCATGTTGAACTATATTGCTACTTAGCAGCAAACTTTGTAAAATTGGATCTGAAAACATTTTTATATCTATAGTTACTACTTCTTGAACTACCGAAAATAATAATTTTCACCAACTGAATGCGAGTATTCTCCTTTGTAATTAAATATGAAATGTCATATGAAGTTTCTGGGTTTCATTCATCATTTTTAAACATTGATGGTGTCAAATATGATGCAATTTTTCATTTTAAGAACATTAAAATTTTATCTTTGATAATTTTATCAAAATTTTATAAAATTTATCATTTACATAAAGTATTCCAAATTACACCCTCTTTAATCTGTATGCATTCTTGTTAAATGATCTTTCATTGCACCATTATGAAAAGTTTTTTCACAAATGAGACATAAAAGTACTTCTATGTTTCTCTAGGATGAACTAAAGCTAAGCATTAACTATTCTTCAGGATATTAGCAGCATTTTCTTTTATCATGTGACATCATTAATTTTTGAGAATATATACATTAAAATGACAACATTAAAAAACAGAAGTATTAAGATTGACTTAGCATTCTTACAAAGATATGAAAGTTCACACAAAAAAGCTCAGAGCTAAAAGTACAGCATGAATATAATTATATCACAGTTCTCTGATTGCTGGTAACTTTCTACTGTGTATTCCAATTTCTTGATTAGCAATTTCCACATTGATGCATTAACATGGTGTAAAGGTTTTTTCTCCTATGGTATGCAGGTGTAGCAGCAATTTGTTTGAATTGTTCTTGTCAAATACAGAGTGAATACTTACATACTGAAGACATAATTACCATCTGAGCATGACTTCTGTTAAGAAATTTCAATGCATTCTTTCACCCCAGCATGGGTGAAAGAATAAACATAGATTTTGCAGTGGCTCATTAGTTTTGCATTCTTAAAATTTTTTGATTGTGTTTTCTTGTTCCCGAGTTTAATTTTTTTATATACTGCACTCATGGTTTAAAAAATTTATATTTTAAAAGATAGTTATTGATTTAAAAAATATATTAAATAATATTTTAACATTAAATAATTTCCTGATATTCATTATGATTTCTTTTGTACTACATGATGCAGCTTTATATTAGTAAACAATTAGTCAGTAATAGTTTTTTAGTTTTTTTTTGTGTGTGTGTGTGCACAATCAACAATATCTTGATTATGATGATCAGTTACTAATGCATATTTGGTTATCAACCTCCAATGGGTCTATGCTGATCCCGTATAGAATCTCTAGAAATATAAAAGGCATTCTCGGTTTTTGGATATTATTTGGCCATGATATTAGCTACTCCAGCTTGGGTTTTAAAAAATTGTATGCATTGCAAACATATTTTATTACTTTATTGATATAAATCTTCCATTGTGATATAAATTATAGAGTACCAATCATAGTTAGTTCTAATAAGCATGGACATATTCATATCATGCATACAACATAATATTTTATTTCAAGTTTAGATGCTCTATGGTTTTATTACATTGCCAGCAGATTTCCCTTAGTGCCCTCCTGTTCTATCTTATACTTTCCAACTCCTTTTACTTGTTTACTATGGAAATATATAAATTAAAAATGTAAAAAAAAAAAAAAAAAAAAAAAAAAAAAAAAAAAAAAAAAAAGGGAAAAAAAAGATCTATTTTGAATTAGGTTAAATCATGATTTAATATCCTCATTACAGTACAACACTCTTTCCTTTATTTTTCAGCAACCCCACAGTTTACATTTTATGATTACACAAATGGCTGTAAAATAATGAATAGAACATATGCACCATGTGTAGGCTTAAAGACAGAAAGAAGGTCATTCATTTGAATCAAAATAAAGCTTCTTACCATCTCCATAAAAAATCATTAATATATAATGATAAGTACCAAGACTTAGATCTGAAAAAAGAAAATACAATAAATTTTTTGGAAAACATTTTACTCCTTTTAAAAAATAAAGAAACACGGTACATATTCTAAGAGATTTTTAAGATTTTATTATTATGATGCAAGTTAATTTAACAACTTTCTATAAGTTTTATCATTTTGATTTTTTTTAACATTGAAAAACACTATTCTGTTACTTTATATATCAAGATCAGATGTCTATGAAAACTTTACACAAAAAATAAAATCATAGTATCAAAGTTATTGTTCTTCCTTTTTTAAACACACAAAAAAGAACAACTGAAATTTCTTCAATTACCTTTTACAAATATTATCAGCATTCTTCCATTTTTCATTTAATTAGCAAACATGCTTGAATTAATTCAAGGATCAATGGATCTCATGACTTTTAGTAATAAAGTAGTAATAAAAGCAATAAAATAAAATTTCTTAAATGCAGTAAAATGTCTCCATCTCCCTTCCCTCAAAAAATGTAATATGAAATTTTCATGATTACAGTTTAATGTTAACTTACAAGACGTTAAACTGTAATTTTTCAAAACATTTACAAAATTTTTAAAATTTGAAAAGTATAAAAATCTAATAATTTTAAAAGTTACTACACATTTTAACACTTTAAACAGTTTTAAAAAGCTACAGTCATGACTAAACAAGTTTAAGACTTACCCTCCCCCCACTCAAGAATTCAAGACAGAAAACATAAAATAATATAGTTAAAAAAAAAAGGCTACAGTACAAAGTAAGGGGAGAAAAATTATGATATTATTTTATAACAAATTATTGCTGCAAACAGACTTATGCACCTATAAATAAGGAAAAAACTTTATTATTCAAGATACAGCCATGCATTTGATGTGAGGCTTGTGACAAATATTTACATGAAGAGGTTTTACTTTACTAAGACACAAATGAATAAAACTATTTAATGCTGGCTGCATGGAGGTTTTATAATTTTCCTTATGTGTAACAAATATTTGAGTCAGTTTCCTTTAGAAAGCTCTTTACAAAGTCATTCTTTATGCTTAAGCAGATAGGCCTTGTGTGCTTTCTAATTAATTTTCGTATGGTGGCTATAATACTGTTTTTAGAAAGATACAGTCTTTTAGAGCAGTCCTAAACAAGAGAAACTCACACTGCTGAATAAAGACAATATTGTTTTTTAGAAAGATACAGTCCTTTAGAGCAATCCTAAACAAGAGAAACTCACACTGCTGATTAACCTTTTCGCGATGGCGCAACTTTGTTTAAGACGCTCGTGTGGGACGGAAGAGAATCGAAGGCAGTCACCGTACAGGACGGAGGTTTTGCATCACTAAGCCTAATTTTATAACAAAAATCAGGAAAACAGTTTTGCTTCTAGCATTGTAATTTTTGGTATCATTTTAGATTATTATTTGAGCTCTTATATATGTTAAAATCAGCCCTTAAAACATTTTTTTCTTTATTTTACATGAAAATATACTTAAAAAATTGCTTACCTTCTAAAATAATTTTCAGAAGCGCTATTCAAATTATTCCAAAGTTTTAACTGATAAAATACATCAATAAAGTTTAAAATAAATAAAAAGAACACAATAAAGACTATTTACAGTAATAAGTAACAAAATTTAAAATGAAAACAAGTGTGGTAAATCTCGAAGCACAGAGAAGTATCACTTTGTAACTCTTAGAAAAAGTATCACTTTTTAACTCTTTAGAAAATGAATCAGTATTCTCATTTGCATTAGTAAATGGTTCACTAACAATACGAGGGTATTCTTACTCTGATAAATAGCGCCTTCCCGCCATAATAGACTGGAGATGAGGCTTTTCTAAATAAAAAAAGAAGGAACGGAAATATATCTGACCAAAACTGATGTATTGACTGTACATTGAGAAAAGAGTAGCAATAAAAGAAAAAAAAAGGATACTGTATTGTTATTGGGGAATAGATCCAGAAATGTATGAATGTCTGATGTATGTGCATATATGTTCATAAGTATTGTGAGGGTGACGTCTCATCATCAGACAGAGATCACACTCACGATTCAAAGTATCAGGTTTTATTCCTGTTTATAGAAGAAAAGATAAACAGAATGAGTATGTACAAATGGATTAAATATGTTTAGGAGAGTAATTACAACACTGGTTCCAGTATGGAGATGTAAAAAGTCACAGCTGACCACCTACGTGCGGTCACTTTAGATAAGTTCCAAGTCCGATCGCCTACGCGAGACCAGTAAGCGTCTAGTTGTAGCTCCTTCGCGAGCGTTCTGTTGGACCGCTTCTCGCGGACTTCTCGATCCAACTGAAGTTGTGTCTACCTGGAGAGTTCCTACAGAGTAGAGGTAGATAGCGACATCTGGTGATTCATTGAGGCACGATTCCCATATTATATACACACACATTTGTACTTACATATATACAGTCAAAAGTCTTTAATTCGGACTCGTCGGGACTTCGGCGATTCCGGAATATCGATTTTTCCGGATTATAGATCATCAGTTTAAATCTGGTAAGATGGCATGCAGAAATTATAAAATTAAAAATATGAAACCGTGATTTATACAATAACGAGCAATTATGATCTAAAGGGTATCAAAATTTACAAAAAAAGAAGCTTAATATTTATTTGTTTACTTTATTAAACATTTCTTTCAACGCGCGTATGCGTAAAGCATATCTTACGCATAGTCGAAATTAGAAAATTGCAACCAGAAAACTATTTGATTTGTATTCGTGATATTTATAATGACGAGGAATTTGATTTAAATCATATCAAAGACGGAGTACATCGTGATTAAATACTACATTTAGTAAGGAATTATAAGCCAAATAAAATAAAAACACCTGCCCTAAAGATAACGATAGTGCTGACAGATCAACTTCCAGTTCATTGTGCGCTGCGACGTCCCTCCCCCCGCGCGCAGAGCAGCGTGAAATTGATAAACAGATTTCGGAACGGTTATATAAACAAAAGATATGCCTTTATCCATTTTTTATAGCAATTCGTTTTTTTGTTTGATGGACATCGAAGCATACTTTCGTTTTCTAGATCCTTTGGGAGCTCCAACATCGGAAATTCTATTTGACATAATCGAAAGTTCAAGCTTACTTTTATAAAATTGCTCTTACAGTCTGCAAAAATAATAAGCCGGATCCAATTCGAAGATTAAGGAACAATGCAATCATCAACATTAACTGAAATAGATAATTAGATAATTTTAGCTTATACCGTCCGTTTTACATTAAACGTGCACGCCAAAACGTATTCTGCGCTTGCGCAGACACATATGCGCAGTCGTAAATGTCTTGCGTGCACGCATAAAACGCCTATGCGCATGCGTCAACGTGGTGCATGCGCAGAAGGATTTTAGCTTTGAGGTCCGGATTATGGGTGTCCGAATTACTGACTTTTGACTGTATATACATGCATATATCAACACATACATATATGCAGACACACAATTTCTTTATCTGGTCCTGATAACAGAACAGTACCGGAATAAGTGCACACATTACAGAAAGTGACAGAAGAGTCTTGCTGCATGTGACATGTTTCACAGACCATTCACAACCAAGAGGTTGTGTTAATGCTGTGTTTTACATTTCAAAATTTCATTAGTATTTTTACATAAGAAGATAAAATATATTCTGTAGATGTTAACTGAAGCACAAAATAAGTTTCATATTGATTTTTATATTTTCTTTTTGGCAAGGAATGAGATGCTAATATTTTAATAACACTGACAGTAGAATAGGGTTTGGTCTGATAGTACAATAGGGTCTAATTTTTCAAATAATTTATCTATTTTTAAGCAATAAAAACATTCAAGTACCAATCTTGAGATTCTTCATTTCAGCTAAGACTTTTAAGGCAGCAGCTCTACATTTATTCCACCTTGTTGATCTTGAAAGTGTTGCTAAAAGTGCATTCATTGTATGCAGATTAGGCTTCACACCATCAGAGGACATATGGCTTAATATATGCTATAAAAATAAAATAATTTTATGAAAATTATAGGGACAGAGTACAAAAAATTCCCAAGCATTTTACAATAAAATTCACAACTATAACATTTAAATTTGTGACATAATTTCAAAGCAACTTTATAAGCTAAATAGAAAGAAAGAAATATAAATAAAGCATACTGCATTTAAGTACTTAAATCTCAGTTTTTCTAAAAGGCTAAATTAAAAAAGAAAACAAATTATAAACAAACCATTGCATATTCCCACCGAGTATCTCCACCTTCTTGAAGAAGTGGTACAACAGTTAACAAACCATTATAAGCCTCAACAGTACCTAAAATAAATAAATAAATAAAAAATAAAAATAAACAGCCATCAACATTAGACAGAGCAAATTAACATTGTTGTTGTCTTGTTGGACTTCTGAAGCTGGAGAGAGGTTGGACTTCTATTTCCCAACAATAATTTTAAGGGAGAGCACCTGGAGATCTCCCACCAATCCACACGAAAGAATTTTTGGCTTGCCGCATATTTAGAGTGCCACCATGCCGCATTGACATTATACATTTACAAGCATCCACGTCTTACCCGGAATTCGAATCCGAGCCCTTCAGTACTGTAGTAAGCTTCCCTAACCACTATACCGTCTGAGCGAAAAAAACATTACCTACATCAATTAAAAATATTGTAAGTAAAGTTGTAAGAACAATACAAAAAAGACCAATTTTGGTCAAAAATTTTTTGCACAATGTGCTGCAAAATTAAGGAAATGAGAAGATGAATTGTAGTCAGCTCACCAAAAAGTTACCAAAAGCTATATTTTCGGAAATTTTAACACATGTATTAAAAAAGTAATCAAATTGAATGAGGTACTATATTAGGTTATATGCGAAATAAAAAGTAAATTATAAAACACAGTAAAATACTAATCGATGGAACAAGTTAAAGGCAAAAAATAAAACACAGTAAAATACTAATTGATGGAATAAGTTAAAGGCAAAAAATATATTAGAATTGAAAATTAAATTAATTTAATGGTAAATTAGCCCAATTCGAGGTCCATTCTGGCTTAATTTGAAAATATTTTATAAATTATACATCTCACACCTATACTAACAACTATAATATTGTAGTATACTAGTAATCAAAAATGAATGACAGTGCTATAAATATCACCAATTAATAAAGTAATCCCATAGAAAACTTTATAAATATATTTCGATGCATTTGAGAAATGCGTCTTTGAAGATGAAGCATAGCAATTATAAAAAATATCATAGTTAAGGGGGGGAGTTATGAGATATAAGACTGCATTCTATAGAAGTTCTACTAAAGGAACTGTCTCCTTCTGCATTTTTGATATATTCAAAATCATGCAATATTTCAACACTATATTCCACAATCCATCAAAACACAACTCTCTAAATGTGTTACATAATTAAAATAATGTGAAGATGCAACATACAAAAGTTATAATTAGTATTTATACCTTTTCTAATTCGAAAGATAAGCTTTTTGCAGAAATATAATGCTTTAATTCCAAACTGAACTTAACTTCCAGGAAATAGGACAAATACAAAATTTTATGCTTGTGTTTGGCTGCTTGGTTATTTAGTGCTTTGACATTAGAACTTAAAGAATATTTGTACCAAATGCAGTTAAATATACAGTATTTATATAAACATGATGCAAATAATAAAAATAGTCGAATTTTTCTTCAAACTTTTCATGCATATATATACATGAAAGAGATATGAAAGAGGTTTCATACAAAATTTTGGTAAAAGCATAAAAACTTTTCTCTGTAACTAAATTAGATCAGTGTAACTAAATCAAGCACTTAAAAATATGTTTTTCTGTTTCATGATTTTAACCACTAGGTGTATAAAAATAGTAAGATACAATTATCTAAATGTTTGAAAATTTATTAAAGGTCCATATATTTAAAAAACTGCATAAGTTTTTGAGGTAAATAAAATTTTAACCCTTTCACCTAAATTTTAACCTGTAATGCAGATGTGCAAGTACAAAGTACATTCATTTCCTGGCTGAAACATCAGCACAACTGAACTTTTTCTCGTTCACTCCCACCTATCATGTATTTCTGTTAGAGTTTCGGAAATCTCTAGCACAAGATGGTATCATGTCCGTAGGATTTGAGATACACATATTTTCTACTCAAAAAGAGACAAAGATGACTCACATTCACTTGGATTTTGATTACATAAATCTAAGGTGAAAGGCACACATGGAATTTATTGATAGATGTTAAAATGTTATGGGAGTTTTTTTCTTTCTTTCTTTTTGCTAAAAACATTAGATGTTTCTTTAAATGCAAACATGATATTCATTGATAAATGTTATTTTATTTATTTATTTTGCTAAAATATTTGGTGTTAGGCTTTGCAGTCCAGTTCCTAATCAAGAATTATACCTTGTGTATATTACACGTTTTTGTTTTTGATTGTTAAAAAGTCGGTCAAAAATGTTTAACAAATTATATGAATCTAAACTAGGTTATATCTTTTACATCTATTAATTAAACATTTAATTATTATAAAGAAAGCTGTTTACAATTTATACACTAACCTTTTAGTTCTTTACTTCTCATTTCTTCATATAAAGTCTCAGCTCGAACAGCATTCCGGAACTTAAAAAAAAAAAAATTTTCATTAAAACTGTACTAATTTATGTAAAATCTAAGTTAATCTTCTGACAACTGTTTCTGGTTATATATTTCATATATCATGAAATGAATTGTATTATGCTTTCTTTGCTGTCTCTCAGACATGAGATTTATAATTAGTTTATCTTCAGCAAATTAAAGTAGTAAAATTATTACTACTGCTATTATTATTAATTTCTAAATTATATTCTGTTTTTCAACATCAAATTTCTATTTGCATTAAAACTAACAGATGTTCTGCACATATTATTGAACTATTTATATCAGATACTATGCATAAAAGTTACAGAAATTATACATTAATATACAGTACAAAGTCCGAGATCTGGACTCGTTGGGACTTCAGCGATTCCGGATTTGGGATTTTTCCGGATATCAGATCATCAGCTTAAATATAGTAAAATGGCATGTACAAATTATAAAATTAAAAATATGAAATTGTGATTTATTAAATAATGAAGCATCTATGATCTAAAGGGTATAAAAATTTTAAAACAAAAAGTTTAATATTTATTTTATTAAACATTACTTTAATGTAAATAAACATTAATGTTAATTGTTTAAGTTTCTTTCTTCTCTTCTCTTCTCTTTTTTTTTTTTTTTTTGTTGCTAATACTTTTTCTTTAATTCTATAGACAGACATAATTTCTCGTTCAGTTATAAAGTTCCACTGTTCAAGTCTTGGAATTACTGCTTCGAGAATTCCAACTAACTTGTCAATCAAATTTTTTTTTTGTTTTCAATAATCTCTCTGTCACCTTCTTCCCTACTGGTAGCGGTATTTTCTGGATCTAAAACCATACTACAGATTTCGCTGTCTGTCAATTGACTGTGATTGGAGCATTACCATTGCAATGAAAAAATTCTGTTATATTACCTTTATTTATTACTATCTCTCCACATTTCTTTACAAAATCCATTAACGGAAAAACTTTAACAGCAGTCTGAAATATCCTAAAACCTTCAAATTCATCTTCACCCTCCTCACCATGAAATTTGGTAACTAGCTGTAAATATCCCAAGCATTTTTTTAAGCACAGCATCTGAAGGCACATCCTCCCAAGATATTGTGAATGGAAATATCTTGGGAACAGATTTTATGCTAAAATATTTTTTAAATTCTTGAATTGTCTTGCCATTATTCAAAAAATCATAAAGAATTTAAAAAAACTACTTTATATTTGCATTTCAGCGCATGCACTATTCAGATATCCATAGGCTGAATGATAGATGTACAGCTTGAAGGGAAGAATAATATGGGTACATTATCTTTCTCTAAAACTCCAAGTGAAGTACAAGTTGAACAGTTATCTACAATCAGAAGAATTTTTGCGACACCAGGTAAACCAAGTTCTAAATTAAGTTATAAATAAGTCCTAAATTTTTGCCGCCCTTATGATCCCAGTGCTTTCCCTAAATTCTAAAAATTTTACCATCCCTTAATTTTATTCTTCTCTAAATTCCAAAAATTTTGTCTTCCCTAAATTCTACCATTCGGTGCATTATATGAGCGCTGGCACCAGATCTAGGTTTATGTGAATAAAAAATCAGTTATTCTTAATTCAAATAGCACTAAATCTAATCTTTTGGCCTACGAGTATCATTAAATTTTTTTTTTTTTTTTTTTTGCACCTGGAAAGAAAATTTTATTAAATGTTTCCTCATCGACATTTGGTGGAACTTAAATCTGTAATTATCGCCAAGTGTGATTTCAACATAAAAGATTTCCATACTCTTTGTTATGTGTTGATAAGCATACAATGATGAAAGCAAAATATAATAAATAATGATTCACCAAGATCACATCAGGGATATAAAATGTTAGTAGTTGTAAAATCTACGATGTTTCTATGTAGAATGTTTTGATTTGAGATGTATGCCAAGCAGATATGCAGATACGGAGCAAAATTTTTTATCACACAAATTTATGTTAAAATGATTGTTTCTTTAATAACACGATATTTTATTTAGTGCCAAAGTGAAATTAAGAATCAGATTCTCCACGTTTTATTATGGGGTAAAAATCAAGTGTGCATGCATAAAGCATAAGAAAAATTCCTAAAACAATTTTCGTTGGTGGCTTTAAGGTCCGGATTTTAGATCATTCTAGATTTCGGAGTTTGTACTGTATAATACAAAAATGCCAACATATTATATAATATGATAATACAAAATCTAAGTATTATACAGTCAAAAGTCGTTAATTCGGACCCCATAATCCGGACCTCAAAGCTAAAAACTTTCTATGCATGCGCCGCGTTGACACATGCGCATAGGCATTTACGCGTGCGCGTAAGACCTTTTACTACTGCGCATATGCATGTGCGCAAGCGCAGAATACGTTTTTGTGTGCGCGTTTGATGTATAACGGACGGTATAAGCTAAAATTATCTAATTATCTATTTCAGTTAATGTTGATGATTGCGCTGTTCCTTAATCTTCGAATGGGATCCGGCTTATTATTTTTTGCAGACTGTAAGAGCAATATTATAAAAGTAAACTTGAACTTTCGATTTATGTCAAATAGAATTTCCGATTCTGGAGCTCCCAAAGGATCGTACAAAATGAAAGTATGTTTCGATGTCCATCAAACAAAAAGTGGAATTGCTGCAAAAAATGGATAAAGACATGAAGAAGGTGAGTGAAAACGAAAAAATTTCGATTGACAAGTTAGTCTGTATTCTCGGCACAGCAATTAACGGGACTTGAACAGCGAAACTTTGTAACTGAACAAGAAATTATGTCTGTTTATAGAATTAAAGAGAAAGTATTATCACATAAAATGAAGCAACTTAAACAAATTACATTGAAAGAAATGTTTAATAAAGTAAACAAATAAATATTAAGCTTTTTTATTGTAAATTTTGATACCCTTTAGATCATAATTGTTCTTTATTTCATAAATTACGGTTTCATATTTTTAATTTTAGAATTTCTGCATGCCATCTTACGAGATTTAAACTGATGATCTATAATCCGGAAAAATTGATAATCCGGAATCGCCGAAGTCCCGACGAGTCTGGATTAATGACTTTTGACTGTATTATAAAATGCCAACAGCTTATTAACAATAAGAATTTATTTGAGAATGCAAATAATTCTGTAAACAAAGAATTAAGTCACTAGGTTTACTGCAACTGATTAAACACAGCACTTCATTAAGGAAGTGATCAATATCTTGATGATATTCTAGAATTTTTTAGATTTTTATTTTCATTTCATGTATACCAAATTAATAAATGATTAACAGGTATGGAATCATGAACTGAATTAATAATTATTTTGAATTGCCTCTATTTACAGTATTAATTCCTTCATGATGTAGGTTCTTTATAAGGTTCTAGGTAACAAAATGTTACCCAAAATACTAAATGTTAACAAAATGTGTCATATTAATATCTTGAGAAGTTCATAAAAAAAGAACACAGAAAATTAATCTCAGGATACAGATACTAGGAGTATTTAATTCAACAAAAATGTCTTCAGAAAAACAAAAGTGGCTTTACTTTTGAAGCCCCTGCAATAATTGCACTATAGGCTTTGCCATCTTTTTCCATTTCTTGAAATAACATTTCTGCCATTCCTTTTGCACTGTAAATAAGATTTAGAATTAAATATTATATTATACAAATAATAATATAAATTGCATTTCAGATCCCTACAGAAATATTTGAAGCAATCTTCATTACTTAACATTACAAACTGCACATGAATCTTGATTGCAGGTTTGAATACAAATTTTAATATATCATTCTCTCAAATTATTACCTGTCTGTAAATCTTTTGGGCTAAATCTGTCTAAACCTCATCCTAGTTTTGATTAAAAGCATCCTAGAGGAATGGAATGTGAGGGAATTTTAATCCTCCTGACCCTAAAGTATTCCAGACCTACAAATTTTAAATATCCCCATTTGGGTGGGGAACATCACCACTAAGAATATACTATTTATGTCTAGGATCTTAACCCATTAGGGCAGAAGCCAACATCTGCTAGTCACTATACGAATTAAAATGGCATATAATTTAAATTGCCACATTAAACAAACTAAAATTGAATATATGTTAAATTTCGTTAATTATTGAAAAATTTGCATTCTCCTTTGCATCTACAAAAGGCTGAAAATGATGAAAAGTGCAGTACTATTTAATCCTATGTAGAAGCCAGAGCTATACATCATCCTGATGTGGCTATTCATATGGTTATCATCCTGGAAGTCAGACTGATGTGATTATCCACATGGCTACCATCCTGATATGGTTATCATCTTGACAGCAGTTGTGGTTCTTTCCATGGTGGTGCCATGTTGCAATTCACAGTATGCTGATATGGATTTAGTTGTTCAAGACAAGAATGGCAATAACAGTCATTTAGAACGAGAGTTTCCAGTTCAGGCTGTATTTACGGTGAAGCACTTCATCAACTTGAAGTCAAGCACCTGACAACAGATCTAATGCCAAGTAGGAAACAGATATGACGCAGCAATTATTATCTGTTATCTGATCTTCAGTTTTTCATACATCATAGGTTGACAAGCATTGTTTATCTATCCTTTTAAATTTACAAAAAGTGAAAGGAAAGTACTAATTAAAACTTTTTGTTATTTACTTACATGTAGTATTCTCCTTTGGTGCTCAAGATTCTACCAGACAGCAATCACTCTCAACATAAACTCCCACTAACAGAAAGACTATGGACCCAGGAAGTCCACTGGAGATGTGCAAAATTACTTTTCCCCTTGAAGTTATTGAAACTGCACATAGCTAATGAAAACTGTGAGCCCTAATATTCAAACTAAAAAATCAGATAAAACTAACTTTGAAATATGGAAGTTTCACATGAAAATGTTTTTAACCCAGTCAGAACTTTGGGAAGAAACTTCCAAAATTAACCAAGCCAAACTTGAAAAATGGGTCCAAAAATCAGTTTGGTTTATTTGATTACAGCAAAGCATTCAAAGGCTACCTGCCTGAGGGGAGGGATGTCTTTGTGGAGTGCCTAAGGGAAACTGGTTCATATACATGTTACACATAGGAAACACTATGAAAATGTCCATCTAGCCAACTCGTTAATGGGATTTGAACCTCAGAACTAAACCACCAACTTTATCACTCAGCTGCTGGTGGGTTCCCGAAAAGATAAGTAAGCTTTCGCAATTATTGCTCTCATCATGAAATTTCAGAGGTAGTGCACATAAAAAAGTGCAAATCTTTGTACAAAGTGTGGATGAAATTGCATGAAATTCATCAGTCGAAAAGTCCTGTAACTAAAGTAAGCCTTATGAAGCAACATATCTCAAAAAAGATGAATATGAATGAAACAAAGCTGGATTACTAAACTTTTTTCTGTGAAATTGTAGATAACTGGAGGAATTCCTAATTATTTTAATATTATGTAGCTTAACTGAAGAATTTGAAAGTTTCAGAATCATGATAGAATCTCATGATAAATTGCCACGACTGAAAATTACTGGAATACACTAAAAATCAGATTACTATAGGAATACAAAAGTTGCCAATTTAAAGCACAAGAAAATGTAACACTCAGGATGCATTAGTTACTAAATACCACAGGAAACTCTAAGAATGTGAAAACTTTAGGTGCTATAATTGCAAGAGTAAAAAGCACAAAGGGTCAGAATATAGATTTAGGGATCAGAATAATGATATAATTGCATAGGTATGGAATATAGATATAACTGCATAGCTTCAATTTAACAGTAACCCAAAATATTTTCTTTGGATTCAAGCAAAACATAAATTACAATATCTTAAATATACATTAAACACATAAATAACTTAGAAAATGAATGACAGTCATGTATGTTATGTAGATGTGAAATGGGCCAAAAATACTCTCAATGGGGAAATCTTTTAGTGGCTATGGTTTCAGGACATCTGATTTTTTTTTTTTTTTTTTTTTTTTTTTTTAAGTCATGCAAGAAAAGTATTGTAGCACTATCAAGTACTGAAACAAAATATGTAGCATTAATCTAAGTTTCAAAAGAAGTGATGCACTTGTGTTTGTCATTGAGGGAAAAATAGTAGAACCAACTGTGTTGTGTAAGATAATCAAAATACAAGGCGTATTCAGAAACTAAGTACCGTTTTGAAAAAAAAAAAAAAAAAAAAAAAAAAAAAGAAAGTAAAACAATTTTTTCGAATTCAATTTTATTTTTACGTGAAAATACATGTCAAACTATTTTTCAACATAGCTTCCGCCAATGATCAAACACTTGTCATAGCGGGTGACCAGTTTTTGTATACCATCGTCAAAGAAACTTCCCGCCAGTTTCGATAACCACGACTCCACAGCATTTTTTGTGTCATCGATCCAAAGCGCTTGCCACCAAGCTCACGCTTCATGTGCAGGAACAAGTGATAGTCGGACGGCGCCAAGTCCGGGCTGTACGGCGGGTGATCAAACTGCTCCCAATGAAACTGTCCAATTAATGATTGAGTGACACCAGTATGGGGGCGAGCATTGTCATGGAGCAACATAATTCCTTTACTGAGCATTCCTCTTTGTTTGTTTTGAATGGCATGCCTTAGTTTTGTTAAAGTCTCACAATATCGTGCCGCATTAATGGTTTCACCTTTGGGAAGAAATTCAGTAGGCAAAACGCCTTTCCTATCCCAGAAGACAGTGCACATGATTTTTTGTGATGACATTGTCACTTTGAACTTTTGTTTTTTCGGAGAATGAGTGTGTCTCCACTCCATCGATTGTTGTTTCGATTCTGGTGTGAAATGAACACCCAAGTTTCATCACCTGTCACAATTTGTTTAAAAGGTTTTCTCCCTCATCATTGTACCACGTGAGAAATGTCAGGGCATTACCAAGTCGCTTTGTTTTGTGAACATCAGTGAGCATTTTTGGAACCCATCGGGTACACAGTTTGCGGTAATTCAAGCGGTCAGACACAATTTCGAACAAAACAGTACATGAAATTTGTGGAAATGCCTCTGAAAGAGTTGTCATTGTGAAGCATCTGTTCTCAAGAATTGCTTCATTAACTTTTCTTACCAAATCATCGGCGACAACAGAAGGCCGACCACTCCGAGCCTCGGTGTGAACATTTGTTCGACCTGCATTAAACATTCTTACCCATTGTCTCACCATTCCATCACTTATCGCGTATTCACCGTAAACTTCTGTCACTTGACGATAAATTTCGGCCAGTTTAACATTCCTCGCATTCAAAAATTTAATCACGGCACGAATCTCACAGTCAGTGGGAGAACTAATTGTCTTAAAAATTTTGAATGTGCACAGCAAACTGAAAACACAACATAGAGCAACCAAAATGGCGACAATTGAAAGTCAGTGAACAAGAAAGACTAGTGCGCATGCGCGGGATGCCCACCACAGCGCTGCGACGGCACTAGAATGAAATGGTACTTAGTTTCCGAATATGCTACGTACACAACCTTTAGTAAAAAATCCAATTCACCATTCTACAGCAAAACATACTGATGGTTCTTTTATTAAAGATTATTATAGCGATTTATATGACAAAAAGGAAAACAATATTAAGTAAGCATCTATAGAAGAAATGCTCACGGATATTTTAACAAAGAATTTTGGTAAAGTTAAACACAGAAAATGTATGAATCTACTAGGTCTACAATTTTAACTAATCAATGTAATCTTTTTAGTTTTATTTCCTTTTCAGCTGGATAAGGAAGAGTTTTGGGAAATTGGCAATCCCTTTGCATCTTCACAGTGCTGAAAACAATGAGAAGTGTTGTGCTCTATAATCCCATGTATAAGCCAAAGCTACATATCGTTCTGATGGGGGTATCTGTGTGATTATCATCTCGTAAGTAAGAATGATGTGGCTATTGCCTTTGTGGTCTACTTGATGTGCCTATGCATGAGGTTTTCAGTGTGGCTGTGGTTCTCCCTTATGGTGCGCCATCATGATGCATGGTTTGATGACGTGCATTTTGCAAGATAGAATGGCAATAGGAGTCTTTTAGAATGTGGGATTTCAGTCTAGGACGTGCATCAACTTGTAGTCAAGCGCCCAATCATGGGTATAATGCAAAGTATATCCAAAAGATACGATGCAGTAGTGAACACGTTAAATTATCACCAGTTATCTCATCTTGCTTTTTTCATATGCCATAGGTTAACAAGCATCGTTCAGCTATCCTGTTGAGTTTAAAGAAAGTGTAAAGAAAGTATCCATTAAAACACTTACATCCAGTATTCTCCTTTCGTGCTATAGATTCTACTGTGTTAACATCACTTTCAACACAAATTCCCCTAACATTAATACAGTAAAATTTTTTAAATAACGTCAGCTGTTCCTGAGAAAGAATCAAGAACAATATATTTTTTTAATTTATCATTTAAGCTTTTTCTTCTTTATTTTTCAAGATATTTAATCTTAAATACACTTGATTATTCTCATTTTATAATTATAAAAATCAAATGCTTTGTTTATTAGAAATCTTTAATTTTAATCCAATATCTACTTTTAAAAACATACCAATTTCATTATTGCTACAGTGATAAATTTTATTATTAGAAAATACAAAGAAAACATACTTCCATTTTTCACTTTGTTTTTCATTTGGTCTTGCATAAAACCTCTCCTGCAAATAAAAGTTAAAAAAAATTATTAAATTTACTATAAACTTAAAAATTAAATTCTATATATCCTTTCTTTACTGAAACGAGTGATCACACACTGTTCATTTTATCTCCTGTAAAATGAATAATGCTCAACCAGATAAAAATGACTGAATGGCCATAGTAGAGAATTAGGAAAGTTATCATACCTGTGCTTACATTTGAAAGTGCAATAAGACACATCTTCTCACTCCAATACCCAAAAGTCTAAGCCTGTCACTCCAATACTCAAATGTCTAAGCCTGTCAAGTCAAAGATGAGGCATTATGTTACTCATTTCTTTCAGGCAATGAATTGTGGCAAAAATCACTTTGCGAATTCTCTAAGGAACACACACAAATTTGTAAGCTTCCTGCTTGAAAGCATTTCTGGCATTTTGATTACACTTGTTAAGAAATATTACTACCACACAACAATAAATAGAGTTTTGGTTTGGTTTATGTGATTACGGCAAAGCCTCGAGGGCTATCTGCTAAGAGGAGGGATGCCTTCATGGAGGTTTTTCTAGAGGAAAAGTGGCTTGTATACACATTACACATTGGAAAAGCCATTAAAACAGCCATGCAGGAATTTGAACCTCGGACCGAACTATCAGTATTCAACGACTTTACAGCTCGGAAGCTGGTGGTCACACATTAAATAGATGAGTAGTATGCTAATAGAAGCTTGGATAGCAATTTGCATATCTCAAGCTTAAAGTTTTGTCTTTTATTGAAAATATGGCTAATAATCCTTTGACTTAGCAGGCCTAAATGTCTGGGATATTGAGAGAATCTAAAGGCTCTACCTTGGGACAATGCCTTTACCACTACAAGTCTGAATATACATGCAATGAGCAATATATGTAAATTAGCATCTTAATGCTCTGGCAAATTTTAAAAAAGCAGGTTTTCATCGAATACACCATTAGATCTGAAAACATTCACTTGTGATCAGATTTGTACCAAAGCAAAATACCTTGTATCAGGTTTACAACTGATAAATTGATAATTATTACATATTAGCTCATTTCAAGATGTTAATTTTGATCTATCCTTACTTGGTTGCAGAGTCAGATTTCAAAACTTCTCCAATTTCCTACTATGAGACACTACAGTTATTTTTATTTGATCAAGCATGTCCACTTTACTGCAGGCAGAGCTGATTAAAGACAGTCTTGAACAATCTATTTTGAAATAAAACTTATGCATTTTCCTTTAGATTCTATATATTAGTAACCTATAAAAAAAGACTTTATGCACTTCATGACTAGTATTACAAAGCACCAGAATTTCAAACATTTATTTAACTAAAATAAATTTACTTTTACTATTCCAATACAGAATATTAACATACAGGTTGATTCACCACTGCATGTACAAATTTCTGGAAAGGGTAGGCTACTCAAAGAATGAATCAGAATAAGACAGCAAATGCAAGGTTGGTAACAGCAGAGCCATATGCAAACACTGTAGAGTCATTAGTTTTTTTTTTTTTTCTTGAAGCAGGAGATGTGAAAAATGAGCAATGCCCTTGCAGGGACTCAAACCATGGGCCTCTTGAATATGCGCCGATACCTTATATACTCCCCCTTTTAAAGGGTGACTGGGGTTTAGGGGACCCAATCGCCAAATCCTAGTGGGGAGAATCATCATCCACCATCCTTTTAGTTCGGGCGCTACTGTAGAGACATTAGAAAGAAATACCTTATAATATGACAAATGAAAGAGCAAGTAAAGAATATTATTTTATTCACCAAAATGTAACACTACGATATTCAGAGAGATCACAGAAGATGTTTAAAGTTCTGGCCAACAGCTGCAATGCAAGCCTGACATCCAGACTTCATGGAATCCCAGACATTTTGAAACATTCAGGGTATCCCTCGGATGTCCACATTAGTAGCTATGCAGATACATGTGACAAAGATCCTTGTATTTGTCCTCAGCACAAAATAGATCTATCACGTGATCCTAGAAGGAAAAAGAGCAGTGAAGTTAGGTCTAGGGATGAATAAATGGAGCTGTGCACACCAATGAATGGGACTACTGTGTTCAATCCATTATTATCTAGATGTCATATGTAAGAGCCCCCAAACATTATGCCTAAAATGGGCTGGAATCTTGTCATGCCACAATCACATAGTATAATGCAGCAACTGATAGATGAGTTGGCCATTCAATAGTTTGAGGCAGAAAAATTGGTAACACTATCTCTCTAAACGAGCAGGCAAGAGATACAGACCTATTAAGTGGTCCTCCACAATGCCATATCAAACACTGTCAGCAAACCAGCACTGTGTTGAACATATTCACATAGCATGAGATTCTTCACTGAAATTGACAGCTGGGAGGAAAATCCACCACATTCTTCTGCAAATATTAATGAGCAAAAGCAACCCTCTAAAGCCCTGTTCACAAGAGCAGATTCGATCAGTAGCGAAAACTGGTTCTTCTAAAGTGCCCCTTCACACAGCGACAAGCATTAACTGCTTCTCCGAATTGGAGATAGAATGTTCCTACCTCTCGGGAGCAGGGTAAATGTGGAGATTTCCCATACTGCACTGCACGATTGCGTGGTTCACATAATTTTAACAAACAACATGGCTGATGCGCAACTGACCGCTCACTGGACTATGAGCGAAATAATCTCATTGGTAGATATCTGAGGATGCGATATCAACCAGAAAATTACATAGAATTGTACGAAATACGGAAATTTGTAAACAAGTACGGACGAGAAGGATGCTGGGTATTCCAGAAATACTCTTCAAATTAAAACTAAAGACGAACATATCAGCTTCAACTTGACAAGGAGACTCGATACCTTCTGAATGATTTTTTTTATTTAAGAACTTTCATCTACTTTTATGATTGTTATTAAATGGTTTTGTAAGACAAAATAATTTTAAGCTGAGAAAAAAATTTTTGGCAGTATTTTTTTTTAAATTTTAAATTTTTGGAAGAAAAGTTTAACAATTAAAATGTCATTCTTCTACAATTTTCAATGATTTTCCCCCATATTTTCTTATTGTATTTATTAGAAAGTTCTTAACAACTTTACAGATCGATTTTGCAATTAATGAATTAGTTTCTGAGAAAAAATAAAAATACATTTTAATGCAAAAACTTTGAAACAAATATGATCTCAATCATATTTCCACTTTTCAGTATTTTGCGAAACCCATTCTTGTTTCTCTAAAGTATATAATTTTAATCAAGCAGTAAAAATATTAAATAATTTAGGCCATATCTATATAAATTTTAGGACTTTAAATAAAAGGATTTATCAAAAAAAAAAAAAAAAAAAAAAAAATTTGCAAACTGAGAAAACGCAGTTTAAAGAATATAAGCTGCCTATATGGTCAATAAATCATTTCAAATTTCTTAAAAATTTTATTACTGTATTTCATTATATAAATTTATATAAAATAAAACCTAGTGCTAATGAATTGGTTGATATAAACATAAATTATAGGCTTTTATTTAAAATCTTCGTAAAACACGTTCAAAACAATTTTAACAGATGAATTAATTTTAATATATTTTCTAAAATGTTTATAATCAACATTAAAATCTTTATAATTAATATTAATGCTAATAATTTGTCGTTTTATTCATTTTTTTTTAAAGCAAAGTTTGAAATTTTAGCAGCCCCAAAACATTTTATTTAAAACCACTCAGCAGCATATGTGATTTCTTTTCTTCTTTTAATCATTTGGTCTCATACATAAATTGCATTTTAAATTAATTTAAGTACATTTTAATTAATTAAAGAATTAAACTCTGATGGTTTTCTATAACAATAGTAAACAATGTCAAAAAAGATATAAGTAAACGTTGTAAATCCGCCAATCTGATTCACATTTGTGACATCATTCATTGCTCGCAGTGGCTCATGGGTTAACCCTTTGATGCGCAGTGGTCGCGCCCTGAAACCACCAATTTTCGAATTTTTTTCTCCCTCTTCCTTCCGAAATTTTTGAGTGAAAATCAATTGATTACTGATCTTTGACCTCTAAATAACACAAAATGACTTATATTAGAATCATACATGTTTTAGGTCTTAGTACTTTAAATCAGATGCCTTTTAAAACTTGTTTTCAATGAGACAAAGTAACTTCCTTTTATTAATATAAAAAACTTTAAATTTCAAAAGTTATTCATCGCACATCATGATTTCTATCTAAACAATAAAAAATAGCAATAATTAAACTGCATATATAAAAACAACCCTCTATATGTATGGCATTTGCTTTGTGGTTTCAGGGCGCGATTACTGCCCCACTAGAGCATTGCGCCACAATGCTCTAGAGGCTCGGTGGTCGCGCCTTGAAACCACTGCTCTTCACAATGGCGTTTGCTTGCTTCTCGAATAGAAATGTTTATTTTTACCTGGATATAGATAAGGGGTTTTGAAATCACGGAGCTATTTTATTACTAAACAATGCCCAGTAAAAAGGTCTTTCTTTTCCAGCAACTTCAACACATTTGCTCCCCAAGCTAGTATTGTGATTTTATAAATTCCTTCCTGTGGTTTAAATTTAATGTACATATACTTTGCTGTAATTAAAAATAGAAATCGCATAAAAGTTTTATTTAAATTAAAAATAGAAATCGCATAAAATTTTATTTAAATTAAAAATATTTTCCGAAAATTTTGGGGCGAAATACGAATAAAATAAGTATGAATGGGAAACGAATGATCCGTATCAAAGCCACAAAGACTAAGCCTCTCCTCATTAACATAAAAAAACCACAAATGAAAGATGAAAAGAAACTAAATAACGCTGGACATATATCAGTGAAATTTAGATCCAATCAGTGTACATTTTCTAATACATGTGGCGAAACGTGCAATGTGGGCATGCATGTACCAAAAAGACAAAACATACATACAGACAAAAGACAAAACAAAGACAAACAAAAGACAAACTTGTGAACGAGTGTCACAAAAAATATTTGTTCTTTGAAATTAAAAAAAAAGCACTGAGTCTTTTTTTTTATCCTTATTGTACTGAGTTTTTTAATCCATGTAGTCAAATGTCCATATTATGTAGGTACTTTCCACTGCTATATAAAAATTACATAAATGTTTATTTTTTAATTTCTGACGATTTTACTTTGTAAATAATGTAAAAAAATATATATATTATATATTGTGCAATTCCTACATGCATTTTGTTTTAAATTCGTAAATTTCGTCATTTATTGGAAATGTGCAAGCAGAAAGGTAAGTTTTTTTTTCCTACTTACCTTGGTAAGTTTCAAGTCCTAGACGCGCGGTGGTTTCACAGTGCGACCACCACCCACAGAACAATGGGCAAGAGTAGATTTTTTTAAATTCATATATTATTTGTCTCTAGGATCATAATATTCAATTTCTAGAGTTTTTAGTTAAAAAAATTATAAAAATAATATCGCGTGCGTCAAAGGGTTAAGGAATGGAAGACAATGTGCATCTGAACTGGTTCTGAAGGCGAAACTGCTTCATATCCCCATTTCTCCCTAATGCAAACTGTGGTTGTGTGAATGAGCGTTGCATGTGAACGGGGCTTAAGAGTAATAATCAGGCTGCAATAGTTGCACAAACTATTCATAGTATTAATGCCACCGGTTCGAGTTAAGTATCCTCCAAACAGTGGTGTGGGGAAGACAGTTGCTTAGATGCTGTCATGGAGAGTATCTTCTGCATGAAAAAGCATCACCTTTTTTTTATTTCAAGTCTCTATGCTGTCCGTTTCAGATTCATTGTACATCCCTCAAAGGATCTTATTTCACATAATCTTTGATGCAGCTCTTCAAACATCTGGCAGTGCAGAATATGCCTCACTAGATTGTACTGCTGATACAGATGTACATTGAAGCCTGCTGTCAGGCCAATACAGTCAGCAGTTTGATGTGGTAGATGCACATCTGCTAACTTTGTATTTAAGAACTTTTCTATCCTACTATTTGCAAGCAGTTGACAAATGATGGTTATCCTATGAGAAAGTTTTACTGGTTCACCAACTAGTCCCTCTATCCCATTACAATTATGCTTCTTACACTCCATTACTATCTAGTATCAATTTGTCTTTGAACAACTTAACCCTTCAAGAAGTTTGTACACATGATAACAAATCACCACGCAAAAGTAAAAAAAAAAAAAAAAAAAAAAAAAAAAAAACTATGTAAAATGTACATTCAAACTTGAGTTACTATTAGAAACACAATCATAGGATAAAAAGGATGGAGTTCTGAAAACATAGATAAAAAGGTACTAATAAAATGCATTTACTCAGTTCTAAAACAAGTTACACTAATATTTCTCAGTCACTCTTGAATAAAAAATAATTACATACTATTATAAATAAAGTGACCAACTTTAGGAAGTACACACGACATTTAGTAGTTTAAAAAAAAAAAAAAGTTTTGTACTTGATAATGCTCAACATTTCTATGATTTTTGAATGTAAGTTGTTGGTGCTTTAAGTTCAAGATGTCATCGCATTTGGAGAAACTTCCCTCAACATTAACAGAAACCATTGGATTACAGCCTTATAAGAACACACAGTGTTAGAATGAAGTTGTAAAGGCTTGCACATTTGGATCAATCTTTAATTAAAATGCAGTTATAGCATATCCATGAAGGTTGCCCCTCACAAGTTTCAATTTCTTTCACTGCTTCTCCTTCTCAGTGTTTTCTTACAAACTCTGAACCATACTTGATAAGTGCTCTACCCAGCTATAGTAGTCATGCACTAGAAAATTCTAGCTCTAGGTTTAATCATTTAGCATTTATCGGGCATGCTTGATAGTCATTGCTTCTGTTGAAGCTAGAATATATAAGAAGTATTTGATTTTGTCAAAGTTTTTGCACAAGAAAACTACATATCTGATCCAAATCTTATCAGGTTACGACGAATTCTAGTGAATAGGGCCTTGCGACTTCTCGGTACAAAATGGCATAACAGTGTTATATGAATTTTTTTTTCATGGTAGCAATGCAGTTGTTTATCCTATTGTATTTCTTCCTAATATTCTCACAAACCTGGTATAGTACATGTGCAGTAAACTCATGTGGTACAAGCTAGTGAATATCATCTTCAGCTGCTGAAAAGCTAAAAGCATATAGCATGCTCAATGACTAATTCATCTTTTTTTTTTTTTTTTTTTTTTGTACTGTATACCTTCTGGGCACAGCTTCATGAAAGAATGGCAATACTACCATGTAGGTATTGGTCTTACTGAGTTGATACATGTTAAGCAGCATGGATTTCACCCATTCAACCAGACAGTGGGAACATTGGTATATTTAAAATGTATCAAATATATTCACAATCCTATATAAATCCCACTTTATCTTTGTGTGCTACCTCTTTTGTTTCCTCAAAAGCATTCTTATTAATTGGCTTTATGTAACTTTTTCAGAATGCTCTTATCCAGGACTTAGTCTACATATTGTTGCATTCTTATGGATTCATAGATTTGGAGTGATTGACGACAACACTTGATGAAGAACCAAAATACAATTTATTAGCCCATATTACTCAAGAGCTCCAAAAATTTGTTTAGAGACATAAAATACGACAAACTCGCTGAAACAATCAGCAACACAGCCTTCAGGCTATCAGGTAATAACGGTGAAGACAGCTTCACAACAAGGCACTACAGTACAGCTCCCAACTTGGTTTGGTCATTCTCAGAACTCAACATACTCTCGAAAATCTCCACGCTACAACTCGCGATGCACACTCTTGATGCACTAACTCGCGATACACTCAATAGCCCCAACGATGCGCACTCTTGATGCACCAACTCATGATACAATACTACTTCGCATACGGGGTTTATACAGCTTTTTGGCCTGCCTTTGAGAACATTCTGGGCCAAACTGATAAGATTTTGTTCTAGACTGTTCTTCATCCATCTATGGGATATCGCCAATTTTGTTCCCCAAACGGGCAATTTCGCACTAAATCCGGCAACGTTGCCTTCCCTCAGCATTTTCTAGCAATCTTAAACCTACTTTGCAAGGAAGTTGTTTTACTGCAGCTCGGCAATTCATAACAATATGTTTTCAAAGAAAGATGGACTGTTTTTGTTATAAACTGAAATTCTTGAATGGATTATGGCAGGGATAAGATCTATATTGAACTTAATGAACAATTGCTCTTTTTCAGCTACTGAAATGAAAGCATGTGCCAAAGCAATTCACTTAGTTTGTAAATGTGAAATTAAATATCATTCACATGCTTGCTGTATTGGATGTGATAATTAATTCATCTCTTTAAGAGTAAAGATAAGTTATTAAATTTGAAAGATACACTACAGGCACACATTAGCATTACTTCTAGGGTTACAGTTTTATTTATTCATTTCTTTTGTAATAGGGAGAAAAGAGTTTCTGATAATTTTAAGCTAAGTATTTTATATACAAAAAACAGATGTAAAACATCTATTGGTATAATTGACATAAAAACCATTTCAAAATAATTTAAGGATTAATAAAAATGCAGGAAAGACATATTTACCTCATAATAATCATCTGAAGGTGGAGGTATATCATTGTAAAAACATAAAAGCTCTAGAAGATCTTGTTTAATTTCTTGGCTAACACAAATTTCTGATGAAACAGAAATAAATAAATAACACAAGTCAACATATGAAACACCAACAAAAGAGAAACAGAAGCATGTCAAAGACTTTTATATTCCTCAGAAATATTCATAAATTTGCACATAGACAAATAGAAAATCATACAAACATTAAGGAACATTTTCAAATGCAATAAATTTACAAATACACAAATTCTCATAAACTTGCATATTTAATGAAAAGACTGCAAAGAACAACATTCCAGATTTTTAATAACATGAATATTTAGACTTTACACTTTGTTTAATAGCTAATCAAAATGGATTTTACTTATACAGAAATCTAAAATTCTTTAAATTCATTATCTAATTGTAATGATCATAGTAGCCCAAATTAAAACTGCAGAGTCATTAGGTTTGGGGGAGAAAGCAGGAAGGATGAAAAATTAGCAATTCCTTCACTGGGAATGGATTTACAGACCACTGGAATACACACCCAGCATGCAGACCACCATACCACGAAGGCATGCCAAGAAGGCGAGAGGAATACATTATATATTATCCCTTTTAAAGGGCGGCTGGGTTTTTTAGGGAACCCAATCGTCAAATCTTGGACGTGGAAAATCATCATCTAATACCCTTTCAGTTCGGGTGCCACTTGTAGAGACATTAGATATTTTTGGAAGCAGGCAAGATGAAAAATAAGCAACGCCTTCACCAGGAATTGAACTGCAGACACGTTCCCTGCATGCAGACCACCACACCACGAAGGCATGTGAAGAAGGCAGGAGAAATACCTTATACAACTAATATGAAATTACCATAACAAGGTACCACTTGCAATAATGGTATACTTTTTATTATTAGATGCTCACTGCATTGCATGTTATTGATTCTACAACTCAAATGACAATATTAATTCTACAATACCTTGGTGTCAAGAATGTCACAAATGAACCAGACCAGCATCACATTTTTTTCAAATGACACCTGTGCATAGATCGTGACTTGTAGATAAATTTGCATCTAACAAAACTGCTAGAATAGCTGAAAGTGGAATATCCATTTCAGGCCACATATAAATCAAGTACTTTGAGTTACATATGGAATAGTCAATCTCTAGAAGCATTAAATCTCATTATCTATTACAAAACATTGAACGAATTGTAATTTATCCTTGAATTGTTGGTATCTGAATCAATATTTGATTTTTTAGTGCTGCTGAAACCAATTTATCAAAAGGATCATGCATTACCATACCTGCAAGTGAACTTCCAACAATATATAGACAGCAACCATGGCCAATTTGTACACTAAATTTGCAAGTAACTGAACATACCTACTTCATAATCACATAACAAACATCAAGTCAAAATCTACCAAGACATCAGTGTGCTGCCACAGATGATTTCGGATATCATAATCTCTCCATGCAAGACCACATGGAACAAGTTACTGCCATATATAATTGCTACAAAAGATGTTTATCACTTTGTAACCTACAAGTCTAAGGAATATATCTCTATAATCATTTCCTCCTTGTAACAATATAATTAGTATTTATATCTTTGCTTTTCCAGTACTTTTATTTTAATGGCCAGAAATGTAAAATTTATTATGTTTGGAACAGTCTAACATTTTAAAACAGACTCAACACTCAAAATGTATAGTTACACATGGCGCTGCAGGATTTTTGCATAAACCACACATTCCAAATGAAGCAATATTTTATTAAGATACATAAACATAAATTAAATGAATACAATCAATACAACACATACCAACAAATGACTTACATTTTTATCCTGATATAAACTACATGGTCATGTCGTGCAAAAAGGCCAATGATTCTATTCATTCATTTTTTACTTTTTTTTAAATAGAAGCTTAAAACTGGCAAATTGCACTTCAGTTAGCTTTTTTTCAATAAGCAGTTTATGTTTATTGCAAAAGAATGTATGTGGCAAATAAACAATCCAATTTTTGCAAGAGGAAATCTAATGGATCACAAGGCGAACACTTAACATGAGAAAATATATTTTTTTAAGAGTTTGAAGCATTATACCTTTTTTCTTTAAATTTTGGTACACTGTTATACAGTTTTTTACATCAAAGTCTTTTATACAGTCCTTTAATGTTTCTACAGTGACTGCATCATCTTCCATGTATATAACAGGAGGATCAAAAGCCTATTATAAATAAAAACAGATTTTTTAAATAATAAATGTTTAAGTTAATAAAAAAATTAAAACCAAAAAATATGTCATATTAAATAAAATTTACATTACCTAATTTGAAAATTAAAAGCTTTAATAAGATTAAATATAAAATTATTACAAGTAACTAAGCTTCAAGCTTCAAGAGTTCTCAAGAGATTCCAAGTTCTCGTTTGAATGACACACCATGAGATTCTTATATATGCATATATATATCTTATATCTTATATATGCAGCTTTGTGTGAGGGCTCTGTTGTTTTAAATTATCACAGTCTTGAGTCTATACTTTTATATAACAATATCTGAAATTTCATTTTGATTAGTTGAGCTGATACCTCTAATATGAAACTTTTTTTATGATCACCCTGCATATTAAAAAATTTTAAATAGACTTATCATTATTGTTTTAAATTATTCTTTTTATTTTCATTTACTTTTGAATTAGTTCTTGAATTTGTTTTTATAATCATCCAGCTATAATTCATAAATGCAGCTGGAAGACCAACAAGGTATTAGGTTTGACCTGCCTGAGCTAGGCTATTAACTACAACTCTGGATTTGCAAATTATAAGGTACATATTTAAAAAAATATCTAAATATAATTTTGAATATTTTTATGATGTTTTGCTACTAACATCTAAATGTTCATTACAAATAATTATATAAATTCATATCTACTTGATCAGTAAAAGATACTGACTTTACATACCAAGTCGTATTATCTACTTGGTCCGTAAAAGATAAAATAAGCAGTGGAAAGAGAATACAAATAATAAAATCAAAATTTTCACAGAACTGCAATCAATTCCAGATTTAGTAAACTCAGTAACATTGAACTTTCAGCCACAATGAACTTAAGTCATTGATCCTGACTGCATACAAAGGAAAAGTACATTAAAATTTCTGTTTATAATGAACATTCAACTCGGTTATTATTAAAAATTATTTATTTAAAAAAATGAAAAAGTAGGGAATGTAAAAATTATAATTTATTAAAAAAAAAAAAAAACTTGCAAAAATATGTTCAGAATAATATCAGGTTTAACAATGCATTCATCAAGCACACTAAAATACAAAACAAGGTTATTCAGCAATGAGTTTACATATAATTACAAAGCTATAATATAATTACATATAATTACAAAGGACAATTTCAAAGCTCATCATTGTATTGAAAATCTATCAAGCTAGTGTTCGAGTCTGTAAGAACTCTGCCATTCTATCAATTCATGAATCAAGGTATGACTCCACAAGAAACTAATTTCAAGCTATTTAAAATAATACAAAATGATTTCATTTTCTTAGTGTAATGAATATCTATTCTGTACATACTATTTTTCCAATATTCTATTTTCTTGCTAAAAGTTCTGTTTAATTTAGGTCAACAGGAGGCATTTGGTTTTAGTGAATTTCAGATACAATATGTGAAATATATAAGCTTGCACACGTTCACTACAAGCACAGCTGAATGTATTAGATTTATTACCATTCTGCTTATCTCTACTGAATAAAAGGAAATATTACTTGAAAATGGTTTTCAAAATCTTTACAATTTAACAATTTTCATACAAAGGGGAAAAAAATGCTTACTTTTATATGTGGATCTGATTTATTGCACTTGAAAACATCTGAGTAATTTTCAAGAAAATAGCGAGCAGCTTTCTTGCCAGATTCTTTAGAAAGAGCAAATGATCTCTGAAAAAAAAAATATGTATAAAGCATCATTTAAAATACTCACTGTTTTCAAAGCAAAGTAACCTATTTTTCATATTTACTATAGGTTTACTATTAGATTTATTAAATTAAATAATCTGAATTAGGCAAGTTAGTAAAATTAAATGAAAAAAAAACTGAAAGCAGAAAATGAACATTAAATTTAAAGCATATATTAACATAAAACAACTGATTTTTGTAGTCAAAATCTGTAAACAGCACCCCTGCCAAAAAAACTGTCATTCACAAAAAGAAAGTAATATCCCCCTTCTCTATGTACTTTTGAAGCAGGATACAGATATTAGAACTGGTGATTAGATCAAAATTTATATACCAATTCCCAAGGAAGCTTGAAACATGTTGCCATTTTCTGATTAGTTTACACTTTCTTAGTATTAAACCTTTGAAATTTTGCATGCCGTTTGTACAAACTTGTGTGTTTCAAATACTAGGTTGTGGCACAGAGAAGTTTGAGATAAGAACAAACAATAGAACAGTAAAGGTGGTTAACATATGCCATGAACATAAATATTGCTTTCTTATATTATGTGTTTCTCGTATTTACAAAATTCCTGTACAACTCTCTATGGAAATATCATTCCATAAATTATTCCATTCACATTATAAAACCTTAGCAGAACCAGAACTTAAACCGTGCAGGGGACCACCAAAGCCTGAATCCAGCACTTTTGGAGACAAATTTTTAAGATAAATTGTAATGCTAGTCACAGTGTACTGCAGCCCTAAATATTTGGGCTTGGTAATTGAGCCACCATTTCAGCAGAAAACATTTTATCTTGAAAACTTTATTTTAATAGTAAGCCTTTAAAAACCAGTTCTAACTTCTGAATGCATATTTTTTTTTCTTCTTCTTTTTTTAAACAAACATTCAGATTAAGGCTGACACTTTTAAAGAAAGAAAAACCCCCCACCCTTACATCAATATCTCATTCTCTACAGTGTTATGAATTTATGAGAATGAGTAAGTTTTTCCTTCCCAAACATACTAAAAATGACTTCCCATGGAAAAGAGTTCCTGCAGACTTTTTAGAAAGATGAAATCAAATATGGGATATGACGATTTTTTCTTGAATAGAACTTTACATTTATTCTCAGCTTGCAGATCAATCATCAGATTCAAGGGAAATTCTCCCAGCCATGACATTCTGCTTGACAACTGGGATTATATAGGCAGAGATCTGTGATCAGAAAGTAACCAACTCTTCTTTCTTTACTTCCATATTTATACATACTCAATAAAATTTCCAGCCACATCTCATAGTGTTTCTATCATTCTCTCTATCCTCACTAGAGACACTTTTAACTATTTCACCTTTTTTCATTGGTGTGCTGGAAAAAGAATGTTTTATTCTAGAATTAATAATTTATACTGTATATTAAGGGTTTAAATTCAGCTGAAGCTTATATAGATATTTTTTTGTTTTTGAGTGAAACTATAATTCCAACTTATGCCACTAATAAGAAAGGTCTAGTATTTTTCACTTAACTATTATAAATAATTTAATAGTTTATTAAATTTTTATTCATTTCTTAATATTTTATTGAATTTTAATATTGAAATATTTTATTATTTTAATCGGCTGAATGGTATGACTGTGTGTATCCGGTCATGAGATTTTCTGTCATTTGATAAATATTAGTTTATAATTTTAAGTATTTTGCTTTAATGAAATAAATATCATCTTAATGAAATGAAAGTTTGTAAAAACACACTAAAACAATTAATTATAGAAATTTAGCTAATAAATACTGCTTAAATATATGTCTTCATGAACAGATCCAAAACGTTATGCCACTTAGAGGGTTAATCATCAATTATTTATTTATTTTGGTTCCTCTTTCCTGATAGCCTGCCATAGGGCACTGGCACTTCTAATTTTAAAAATTAAGTCCTGCCTAAAACAATTATTTATGATAATTGTTCACACTTAAATATATATGAAAATTATGATATACTTGTTTACAAATCTAAATGGCTACATCACATTTATATAGCTTTATTAATTTTTTTCATTAAACTGAAATTAAATGATAGCTTCTGATTTTGAACCCTCTCAGTACTCTCAAGTGCTTGACACTTTTATCACCTTATGAGAATCAAAATTTACAAAAAAAGCTCAATATTTATTTCTTTGCTTTATTTAGCCTAAAGCAGCATTAGCTCAGAAGGGCTATTAATTTTGTTTTGGCATTTTGCATTGATTCCCTATAAAAGTTTGAATCACTTTTCAAATTGCTGCCACCAAATATTATCACCCTAAAGAAATTACACAATAAAGAATCTGTATGAATGTATGTATGTTTCTTGCAGTGCAAAAAAACAATGGTACCTAGAGACATCAAATTCTGAATACCATAGTCCTCCACTCGAATATGGGAATCTAGAAAGCCAAATTTAGAATTTGTTTTATCATTTTCATATTTTGTAAAACTTTAATGAATTTTTGATTAACAAACTCAATGATTTCAAAGCGCTCCATTGATATTAGTATCGTATGCATCTTCAAGCATTGGTATTTTATGTGCGAGGTTTTTTTTTTGTGATATTGATGCTGAATTGAATTTTATGGTTTAAGTACGAAGAACATGATATTTTATAAATAAAGGTAATGTATTATTTAAAAAAATGCTTCTTTGGGCATAATATAAACTCTGAAAGCTTTCAGATTTTTTTGAATTTTTTTTATGCAAGTTGCTTTGTTTTTGTGGTAATACTTTCTCTTTAATTCTATAGACAGATATAATTCCTTGTACAGTTAGAAAGTTCCATTGTTCAAGTCTTGTATTTGCCATGTCAACAATTCCCACTAAATTATCAATCAAAATTTTTTCATTCTAAAAAACTCTCTATCACGTTCTTCATGATTGGTAACATTATTTTCTGGATTTAAAATCATACTACAGATTTCACCATTCATTAGTTGATTGATAATTGGGGCATTGTTATTATAATGAAAAACTTTTGCTACATCTTCATTCACCTAGAAATATAATTCAGAATGAACTTCACACATATGAATAGCCTTAGATATATGAGGAAGAGTATGAAAATTCAAATATATGGCACAATATCAGATGACTAATACTTCCAAAGTAAAATTCTTACCTTTGTAACATTACTTATTGGAATAAAATAGGGGTCATCTTCATATTTATATTGTGGAGCAGTATAATCCTGCAAACAAATTTTGGATCAATAAACACAGAATAAAATTATTACAAATTAAAGACAATTCATACACACTCCTTTAATTTATCAATGTAAAGTTGCATATTTATTCTACCTATATGAATTTGGAATTTTTACCTTGGATATTGTTGAAGCCAAAGCTTTCAGCAAATCTGTTGGCCCCCTGTTAAAAAATCAATTTAGAAATTTAATATGTTAGAAAATAAATATGTTTTCTGAAAAAGAAAATTATGGAGTAAAAGTTACCTTTTGATTTTATATGGAACAATGATTTCATTCTGACCTGGAAAATTTATGATGAATACATTTTCAGTTTCGAAATTATTTTATAAAATATATAAGATTAAATACAAGATAAAATAATGATACTTGTGTTTAAAATATTTTACTTACATAGTGCATCCATAAAGCTATCATCTGTCATCCACCATGTCATCATCTTATAGGATAAATGACTAAACTCAGTTTGTGCATATTGTTATTAAGCATATCAAAACACTGAACTCATTTTTATTAAAGCAAAAGAGATGAAAAAACTCATTTTCTATGAATTATCAGCAGATATTATTGGTGGTTTTTAGTCTAAAGAGACTTTGTCCCCGAAAGACTATTGTTTTCGTTTTGCGATTTTACGTTGAATCACTATAAATGTTCGTTTCACTTTTCAAACTGTTGCCACCAAATTTTAGAGTACAGCATTATATTTGAAGAAATTAAATAATGAAAAATCTGCATAAATGTATGTATATTTCTTGCATTGTGATAAAACAACAGTACATAGAGCCATCGAATTTTGAATGACGTAATCACATTGCTATTGAACTGAATTTTATGGTTTAAGTGCAAAGAACATGATATTTAATAAATAAAGATAACACACAAAACACTAAGAAAACACCCCTTTAGACGTAATTGAAAATCTGAAACCTTTTTTTTTTTTTTTTTTTTTTTTTTTTTTTTTTTTTAATGACAAAGTGATTTTTTTAACAATAACTTTTACAGTAAATTCCCAAAAATAGATCATGACAGAACAGAATACAATGATGAAGAACTGTGTGTAGTAGGTTGTCACATTATTAATGAGAGAAAGGAAATAGCAATGATGATTCTAGTAATGATGAAATTATACAACATCCTAGGACTTTTTCTCAATTTATCCCAACTAGAATTTCAAGCAGTTCTGATTCTAGCCTGGATGTGGATGATTTTTGACTATGAAGAAGAATGGTTATCAGTGGACAATCTACCAGTCTTGTATTGTTTTAGCCTGCTCAGAAATAAATACAGAAAATGTTTTGTATCATGTAGCCTATACAGTGCACATGCTACACTGAAATAACAAATTTATCACTTAACCTGTTCAGGACCAGCGTCATGTGTATGCAACGCAACGATTCCACTCTTACCAGCCCAGCATCGTGTATACACGAAGAGCTCTGATCAATCTCTACAGTCCAATCTGTTCAATCAATCTCTACTCTGATCAATCTGATCAATCTCTACAGGATCATGAACAGGACAGGATCTGAACTCTGATCAATCTCTACAGGAACGTTTTATTTGAATTTTTAAATGCCAGTAGGTGTTGCAAAATGGTAATGGTTTTCACATCGGTTAGGACATGTGGCTTTTGACATTCATGTATGAGCAACAGTTTCTGTTCTGTGCTTCTGGTTTTGATAGATTTACTGGTGTAAACAAACAGGGAATCAAAGCTCTTTAAGTTAAAGGGATACTGGCATGTTTATTAATTTAGTTAGGATTTTTTTTTTCTTTGCGTTTTTAGTAATTAGAATGTGGGGTAATGCATTTAGCTCAATATTCTTTTTTTTTTTTTTTTTTTGTTAGAAGAATGTGGGAAAACGCATCTAGCTGACAATAGCGGGTGTAATGTCGGCGAACTTCCGTGACGGAAAAACTCATACCAATTGCCCTTTGTTACATTTATTTTAAAACTTGACATAGACTTTCTTGGTTAAATAAAAAGTAACTTTACAGCAATATGACAGAAGGGGAAAGATATCAGCTTTTGTGATGTGTGATGCATCTTACTCGCTTAGCATATGCTTGGTGAAAAAAGCCACCATTGTCCGCTGTGTGTCGATTCTCGTTTTGAATTATTCCACACACAGCAGAACTATTACATTGGAATTTAATTACCTACAGATAATTATTGCTTCATTTTCTTTTAAATTTAGTATTTGTAATTTTGTTTTTATGCATACAGTACAGTACAAAGTCTCTAATCCAGACGTCCATTATCCGGAATGATCTATAATCTGGACCTCGAAACAACAAACTTACGCATGCGCATTTGATGCACGTGTCCGCTATGCATGTGCATTTGATGCACGTGTGCACATGTCCACTACGCATGCGCGTAAAGCACTTACCCATGTGCTCTTCCGATAGTGAAGAAAGTAAGAGAGAACATTATTGAAAACGAAAAAATTTCGATTGACAAGTTAGTCGGTATTCTCGACACAGCAATTACAGGACTTGAACAGTGGAACTTTGTAAGTGAACAAGAAATTATGTCTATTTATAGAATTAAAGAGAAAGTATTACCACAAAAAACAAAGCAACTTAAACAACTTACATTGATAGAAATGTTTACTAAAGTAAACAAATAAATATTAAGCTTTTTTTTTTTTTTTGTAAATTTTTATACCCTTTAGGGCTCTAGTGTAGAATTGGGTGCCCCTTCGATTAGCGACAACTTTTCTTAAATTTTGGCCATGAAACCTCACTTCTGGTTACCATGATAGTTTTAACTTTGTTTTAGCTTCCTGATTTTATTTAAATGAAAATAGATTGATGTGTACATGGACAAATTTAAGAAAGTGCGCAATGCCTAGTTTGTGCAATTCTAGGATTTTTTTTAAGTGAAAACAGATCGATGTGTACATGGATACAGAGTTTGTGCAATTCTTTGACTTCTTATTTTGGTTTTGTGTAGCGGCCATCTTGAAATTGTGCCTTCCTGGTGCCGATCTTGGCGTCAAAAAAGAATCGCCAAGAAACAAGGGGAACTCAATTGTAAACTTTTACCCCCCTTTAGATCATAATTGCTCTTTATTTCATAAATTACGGTTTCATATTTTTAATTGTATAATTTCTGCATGCCATCTTACCAGATTTAAATCGATTATCTATAATCCGGGAAAACCCCTAATCCGGAATTGCCGAAGTCCCGACGAGTCCGGATTACAGACTTTGTACTTGTCATGCTTATAGTTGTAGTTTTAGTATTTTGCATGTTTCATTTATTTCTATTAATGTGATATTCTTTATATTAATAATTAGTATATTAAGTACGTAAGTTTAAAAATTAGGTCATTATATTAAAATGCTGATATTCTATGAATTTTTTTTGTAAAAGTAGACCTAACTGCTGAAAATGTGTGGGCCAGTTGCGGTGTTCCCTTTCAAGGGGTTCGGTCCCATGGCTGCGCTTCATTCTCCGCACGCTGGTTCACGAAGGATTAAAGCACCAGTGCATGATTTATGTATAGCTACACAAGCTATAGCTTAGGGCCTTATCAAGTTTAAATCCAGCTCTGAAAAGCACCCTGGGAAAAATTTAAATTATATTCAAGCACAGTAGCATCCATCACGTTTGATAGTCAGCAGCACAACAAGGTTGTTATTTGCAGAAAAAAGTTATTTGTATATGTTCACTTAAATCATAGAAACCAGTTATTAACCATTTCATAGATGTCAACTCCTCTGCCCAAGAATATAATCTAATCGCAGTGACGAATAATATTCTGAAAACAATGAACCAATTTCCAACATGGAGGCCCTTCTTCTTGCAATTTTTAACACTGCACCTCCAAATGGTTTTATTGTTAACATCAATTTTCATGTTGTGGCCCTTTTTGTGTACTTGTTTGTCAGGTAAAAGACATCTTTTTTGAAATATTTATGGCATCCACCTCATAACTTCGTAATAAAGACCGTTGCGATCATATTCACACACACACTAACACAAAAAGCAATGAATATATTTTTAAATAAACAATGCAAAATTCGAAAACCTCATAAGAAATGAATAATGTAAGAAAACACGGCAAGAGCAACATACAATTATAACCCGGTGATAATATACAATTACGTGCCAAAGTATAAGAACACACAGCCAGTGCTAATATATGATAATGTGGTGAATTATAAGACGACACAGCCAGATTTTAGCGAGATATCTTGGTTGCTTGGTGATTTAATCTCAGGGGCTACTATAGTAAAGAAATACTGAAAACACATTAACATGCATCCTACTCGCAGTTCTCTTTATAAGTGAAATTAGTTAAGTAACCATTATTAGTGTAAACATCATTCTAGCTTTCAAACACATATAGGAATCATAAATTAAAGGTGAACACAAGATTTATTAAAATTATATCACAAAGTATACAGTAGTATACAGATATAATTATGTAACAGATCTGAAATATGCATCTTAAAATTAATTTAAAACCACTCTGTTCTACACTTTAGTGTATGCTGTTTAATCATGCAATGGCTAAATAAATAACACATATACTTAAGTTTTGCTATTTTATGTACAAAAGACCTAAGTTTACCTTAGGACTGCCATTGCTAATTTATTGCTATCTTCAGAGGCATTTAAAGAAAGGTAAATATAAGGAAGTATTACAGTTCTTTTTGATTATGTCTCCTTCAGATGAATTTTACTCATATGTACAAATACTCAGTATAAATTGCTACACTGATACTATCTAGTTTCTTGTAACATTTTTGCTACCTATCAAGTAATATAAATCCAACTGCACATAATCAAAGATGGAATTCAAAATTTTCTTCCGCAAAGGATCCATTAGCGACGGTGCATATTTATTTGGCAAGCTCGCCAACGGCTAATCGGCCATGATTTAGTTAAGTTGCAAGATATTTAGCATATGGAATCCATGATTTTAGCAGTGTACAGACAAGTTATAAGATATTTAGCATATAGCAGTAAAATAAATAGGTAACCATGACATTTTAGTGGTGTATAGTTAAGTTGCAAGATATACAGCATACGGAATTCATGATTTTAGCGGTGTACAGTTAAGTTATAAGATATTTAGCATATAGAAGTAAAATAAATAAGTTAACCATAACATTTAAAGCATATAAATTAAAGAAACATATTAAACGTGTATAAATTAAAGTTAGCAGGAAAAGACATAATATCAACCAGTTACACATGATAAAGCGTATAGATTAAAGTGTATATAGTAATACCTAGGCTTAGCATACTTCCCATTTCTTTTATTA